ACGACTTTAAGTTAAGTCGTCTGGGCAGACGACTTACGAGGGCTAGAAACGTAAAAAAAAATACCATTTTTTTGTTTGTTCACAAGGGGTTGGTTGTAATTTCAATAGCCTTTAAAGTTACTTTTGCATTTGATTCAAGTTTGGGTTTACTTTTGCATTTCAAATCAAGTTTTGAGTCATATTTGGCAATTTTCCCAATAAATAAACATATGTATATAATATATATATACATAAAACAAAGAAATTTTTCTTTTTATTTTAAACAAATAAATCGTTTTTTTGTGTGTGGTAAAAACATGATTAATGAAGATTCTTAAAGTGGGATTATTAACGGAATATAAAAAACTCATCGCTTATTTTTTAACTAAAAAATTAAGAACCAATTTTTAAATGTCTTATTTAAAAATCGATTCTTAGTTTTTAAGTTACAAGTTAAGAGACGAATATTTAAGAATCGATTTTTAATTTTATAGTTAAATGTTAAGAGACGGTTTTTTATATTACGCTAAGAATCTAACCCTAAAAACTTTCTATTAGTCATGTTTTAAGGTTCTGAACTCATTGGAGACAATTTACAAACGAGAAGGAAACCAAAACTTCTTGAAATATTTTTTTTTTTAAAACCACACCAGATTTAACTGTATGTCCTGAATATTGTTAATGATAGGCAATTTGTTTACTTTTCTATTTGTGTACTTTTGTTTTGGCTTGAAGCCTTGGCCATGAACTCATGCACGACAAGTTGATGGGAGATCGAATGCCTTTTCTAATTAGATACTGTACCTTTTGTTTGTGTCACCATGCAAAACGGCTGGATCTGCATCTCAACCAATAATGTATCATTTCCGTAAAGCCTAAAGACTACGTAACAGTTGAGGAAAAAATAAAAAATGATGAGTTTGGCCAAAACATATCTAGATTAATAAATTACTTCTGCAAACAATAAAATAACCAAAAGGTACTTTAGGCCATTTATGTAGTGTAAATTAGCATGAAAATGTAGACCACGACACAGACCCCAGAAAATAAGATAACCAATCTATTTTATTAAAAGTGGCACTTACCGGATTTAAAAAAATTAGATAAACTATATGTTCCTTAAATTTGAAAAATTACTCAATTTTTAATAAAACACAATTTTGAGAAAAATATAATTTTTATAAATATTTTATACTCCTTTCTCAGTTTTAATACCTTTGTAAGTATTTTCTAAATAAAATAAATAAAATGATATGTTAAAATAATACTTTTATAAAATTTTACATTTAAAGCTCTATATTTAATTTATATATAGATCTATTTATATAAAAATTGGAGCAGATATCCGGTTCTAATTTGTTTAGCATTTGTGATTTATTTCAATTTTAATAACTATTTTTTTTTTTTTGATGATTTATGGATATTTGAGTTTTTTTGGATCAGATCGAATTTAACGAATAAATGCCCATTCCTACATACCTTGACTATCAGTACGTAAGAGCATGTTTATTGGGGGTGCTTAGGGAAGGTGCTTAAAGGAGTGAAATGCTTAGAGCATGTTTATTGATGTCTCTTAGAAAAGTATCTTAATATAATTAAGAATTAGAAAAAAAGAAAAAAACAGCTTTTAACTAAGAGATATGAAAGAGATGTGTCTTAGATAAGGCACATAAGGAATGTCTCTTAGTGCTTTTACACTATTTTACTTAATTTTATTAATTAAATATTATTAAGAACTTAGCTACCGTATTCCCCGTTAAACATGGCCTTAGTTTTGAAGAGAGAGAGTGTTGTAAGTGCTTAATTAAGCACTTTCAACACTTTCTCCCTTCAAAACTAAGCACCCCACTTCTCTAAGCACTTCCTTAAGCACCTTTCCAATAAACATGCTCTAACTATCCATACAAAAGATGTATTTCTAGACTTCTAGTGTTTCACAATTATTCTGTGGAAATATGTTTTAATATTAGTGTTTGTGAAGCTGCACCTTGCTACCTTTCAACTATTCATGAGATTAATCATTCAATTTTAAGAAAAAAAAAGATAAAGTTACAAAATGATTGATGTTTATCTCAAAAACTAGTTTGTCATACGTCAAAAACTTTTAGTGGTGGGGCTTTATAAAAACCAACGCGTTTTGTCTAAATCTAACAAAATAGCAAGAGTAAAACAGAACCTAAAAAACAAGAAGAAAAAAATGGCAGGTCATGGATCATCTTGTGGAGCATGCAAGTTCCTAAGGAGGAAATGCAACAGCGATTGCGTCTTCTCTCCTCACTTCAGCTACGAGCAAGCCTCATCTCATTTTGCAGCGGTCCACAAAGTCTTTGGCGCAAGTAATGTCTCAAAGCATTTGCTTAGTTTGCCTCTACATCAAAGAAGCGCAGCTGCGATCACTATCTCCTACGAGGCTCTCTCTCGCATGTGTGATCCTGTTTATGGCTGCGTCGCTCATGTCTTCGCTCTTCAGCAACAGGTATCTCAAAAATTTGAACAAATAACAAAAAAAAAGTTTTAGGAAAAAAATCTGACCATGTTAGGGTTTTGGGTTTTAAGGTCATGACTTTACAAGAGGAGATAGAGTTTCTAGGGACGCATATGGCGAATTTATCGAACTCTCCTCAGATCAGGTCACAACCTAATGACATGCCCGAGTTTCGGAATCAGATGACAATGGACACGACCGGTTTCATCGACGAGACTGTTTTAAACAATGACGTTGGAAGAAACTGCATTGAAGGGTTCTTCACGAACCCGGAGGAAGTGCTCGTGAATCATCCATGGTTTGAGAACATGGATCACTATTACTACGCACCGCAACATTAGACGTGAACTAATCGAATGCGCCGTTTTTGAATATGCCATGATAATCGGATGCCTTTATATTTAGGTCACGTTATAATTAAATTGTATGCATTTTGTTAAGGGTTAAGTAGATTTGACTCCAGTTATAATTGGATGAAAATAATATGCATTTAGGTTACGTCACTCTCTAAGTATGAAGTTAATGTTTCATGTGGGTCTTTGTAAAATGTTTGTTTAGCATTCGTCAGTTAAGTTCTAATTAATGTGATATATCAATTATTAATTTTCTTTTTTTACTGCTTCTCTTGTTGTATATGTGGTTGGAGTTCATTCACTATATATTCATATATGATGGACTATGGACTTAGTGATGGCTTTGATTTGTAAACCATGGCATTGTTGCTAATGTTTTTTTTTTTTGGAGTTTAACATCTTGGATGAGCAGATGATGAAATGCTGAGTATTTCTTGATTACCTGGGCTTAAAATATCAATCTAGGAACATTTAGTGATTCATCTAAAGTCCAAATCACTTTCGGCCCAAACACCTCTATATTTATTTTCTTATGTACTTTCCCCAACACACTCTTCTGTAGATATTGTTTTTTTTCCTACTTTTTTTTTTCTGAAACATATATATTCTCATAGAAGAACACTTGTATAGCAATATAGCATGAAGGTACTATTATATATACAGTAAAACCTCTATAAATTAATAATGTTGGGACTTTGAAATTTTATTAATTTATAGAGATATTAATTTACGAAAGTTTCCTTATTTAGAATTTTTTATTATTTTTTCCATTTTTATTTATAAAATAAAAATATATTTGATTTTAGCATATGCACATTATTTAAATTTTATAAATTTGACTTTTATATTGTTTTATTATCTTATTTGGTGTATATTTTTATGTTTCATAGAATTGTTACATGGTTTTCGATATAATTTAAATAAATATTATCAAAATATATTGAAATGTTTTAAAAAATCAAAGTATTTTATAGTAAATATAAAATTCCTAACTAAATATTATCAAAATATATTGATTTGTTTAAAAAAGTTATTTTTATAGTAAATATAAAACCAACAATATAATGTTAGATTGTACTTATATAAAATATATAGCTAGATTATTAATTTATGGTTTTAGTGGGACCATATATTTACATGGCAGTTTTAAAAATATTATTATCTTATTATTTTATCGATTTGTGTCATATTTTACACCGGCCCAAGTTGGGACCGGTGAAATTTATTAATTTATAGAGATTATTAATTTATCGAGTATTAATTTATAGAGGTTCTACTGTATCAAGAAGGTACTATAATAATACATTTTGATGTAATGTCTTTTCCAAAAACAGTGACATGAGAAAAATACAGGATGAGGGCAATGAAGAAAGGTAATTAACTGAAGGAATAAATAAATCATAAAATCATATTAACTCTGTCTTTTTTTTCTTGCTTTAGTTTTTTTTTCTGTGCACCAATCTCTTCATTAATAGGTTTGTGTTTTTCTACCCTTAAGTGTAATTTCTTCACTTATTAAATCTGGCTGGTTACGTGGACACCAAATCAAATAACAATATATATGGATGCAACACAGCCAAAATATATACATTTTTGGCGTGTTATAATATTTTGATTTGTGTTTTTAAAAACGAACTTATAGTTTTTGCTTTGTAATTAAGTCACTTCAGTTTGGATACTTTGTACTCCAATCTTGTTTTGTTTTTTTTTCTCGCAGTGTCTGAAAACCGTAATATGGAGACAAAACTGTAGGTTGGATCTTTGAATTACGAGTCCATCATAAAAATAATCTAAATTTCAGGCAAGATCTCCACTTTTCATCCGTATAATACTCGTAAAATAATCACACGATATCATATTTAAATGGCAGTATGCCATGTATCCAGTATCGTGTTAGCTCGATCACATAATACGTAAATGATAAATTAATTTGATGGTTCACTGTCTTCATCACCTCTACAGCCACACATCCGACGATGGTGTATGTGTTTAGTCTCTATATAATAACGTAACGTAGTCTAACATAAGTGTATTTATAAACCTAAATTTTGTCATATTATTAGCCTATTAGGGTGATTGAAAAACATCGACTTAACAACTTATTAATTTTGTAGACTCGTGGAAAAAACTTAGGTTACGTTTGGCAATAAGTTTAGCTACTATCGAATCAAAAGCTCACCAACTAATTATTAATACCTAAACATTTTAACATATACAGAAATATAGAGTGAAGACATAAGAGTAACTAAAGTAAAAGAGAACTTTCCCCATCAAAGTCTCTCCCTCTTTACTCATGGACTCGATGTTGCTTTCTCACATTCAATGCTTTAACCATATTATACTCTCACACATATATGATATATGTATATGCGTCTCTCTTTAAATATGAATACGTGCGTGTGAATCTACATTTACTTATCTTCCACTAACACAAAAAACTATCATAGTTTTCTTCTTCTAATATACGAAATATAAAAATATATCTTCGTGTTTGTATACATGCGTCCCTACGCGTGTGTGATGGAGAGAGGAAAATGCTTGATGTCGATGAAGCTTAGACCGGTGGTGACGAGAGAAACTTCGGACGCGGCTTTGCTCTGGCCATTTGGGGATGATAGAGCGTTTGCGGCTGTTGAGGAGTATGGCGGTTGCATGTGGCCGCCTAGGTCTTACTCGTGCAGCTTTTGCGGGAGAGAGTTCAAGTCAGCGCAAGCACTAGGTGGTCACATGAACGTTCATCGAAGAGACCGAGCTCGTCTTAAACAACAACCTTTATCATCTTCATCAACTGATCACCAACAGCTACAAAAACAACAAGGAGTTCTTCTTCAAGAAGATTCAAGAAAGCTCAATGGAACAAAGAGGGATATAAGTGATGTTGATAATAGTAACGTTTTAGAAAGTTCTATGAAAAATTTAGAGCATTACAATGATGAAGTCAAGACTGATCTATCTGTCGGTCTAGTGAGTTCTGAGTTTGATACTCGGAAGAAGCAACCAATCAATGGATTTTCGTCGTCCAAGAAGGCAAAGACTGATGTTTCAACATTGCCAATGGTGTTAGGATTGGTCATTGGAGTATCCAAGATCAACGGTCATCATGAGGAGTTGGATCTTGAGCTACGGCTAGGAGCTCATCCGTCAAAGGTCAACTAGCTTAAGTAGTTATAATAATGACAATAATAGTTAGTGTGATTGCCAAAAAGAAGTTTAATTGTCTGTAATTTCAAGAGGGGAAATAGTAGCTTCTGTAGTGTTGGTTTTGATATAGTAAGATTTTATTTTATACTCACTGAAGACTTGAATACATAATATAAGACATTAAAAATATCTAAATCATAAATTGGATAGTCAAATTAAAGAGCTAATAATTAACTTAATATTAACTGCTTAACTGCCACATGACCTCAAATTAATTGGATAGTCAAATTAAAAGCCACATGACCTCAAATCTAAATTAACATTTTCACTTATATAACAATGAATAATATTGTTTTGACTCTTTACTTTTACATATTAGAAAATAGTAGGAGCTTGGAAAATTACTTTTCTACTAGTTGGCTTTGTAATTATATAAATCAATAATACAAAACTTATCTATTTTCATTATTTATATTGGTAACAGGGAAATGCTCTATCAAAGTATTAATGATCGAATTAAATAGAAATGCACTGAGCATATGGGGGAACAGATGATTATTATTTAGTTCACACCAACTTTGCAGATCTGAACATGTTACACACACTGTGTGTATACATATATTTAGATTTTGTAACCTGTAGTTGTGTGAAGGGTAAAATCTGATTGAACGAAGTGAAAGTGGTCTTTTCACATTTACAGCTCCGAATATAAACATATCCTAACGTTTGTATATTGTACTTTAACCTTTCTTTTTTGTTTTTTTACTTTCCCCTTGTATTTCAGGCTCAGCTGCTATTAAACATCAACTTTATACTTCAACAATACAGGGATCAATTTGATAAAGTTTTAGCGTTAGTGGATCCGAATACGAGTGTGTTGTAGAGAGAAATAGAACTCACGTCTGGTAATCTGCAGACTTGTAACATCAGATTAAAAAACTCAAGAAACTTCGATGTCTGGATTTTAGGTTTGTTTTAAAAAAAATAATTAATAACATAATTTTAATTTTGTACTATAAACTACTAATTAGAGTAAAATAATTAACTTACTCAATTTAATGAACTCATTTGACTCTAATTTATACAAAAAACGATTCCTTTTATTAGCTAAAATAACTAAATCGAGTTATTACTAACTGACACCAATCACACTCACATAAATTAACTATATAATTATACATTACTCTGTTTCTTTTGTCAGTTAAACCTTTTTGGGGTCAACATAAATTTAAATATTTTGGCACCCTAAGTATTTCAGCTCAACAAAACTTAGTCTCACTCTAAGAAAACCGTCTTAGCTATATATAAAATAAAAACACAGAAAATTAACTCAACGATATAATCTTTTGGTATAACCTCTTGATTTTGTGGACGTTGCATTTGTCGAATTTCCTGTGGGAGAGAGAGATAGCAAAATCTATAAATAAAATTAAAGAAAACATTAAAAAAGAGAAATAAAGAATGAAACCGATGGTTATTAAGTAAAAACATGGTTTTAAATGGGATATGCAACAAATTTCAACGTTTCCTGAAAGAGGAAACCTCATGAAATATGGCTTCTGACTTAGTATTACAATTTACAAAGCATCGACACAAAACTGAAAACATAAACAGAGAATTAGAAAAAAAATAAAGACTCTGCTCTGCATCTGCAACTGAGGAGAACTTAACACATTTTGCTTAAAAAATGTAAAAGGAATATAAAAAGCTGAATAAAAAGAATTTATGTCATAACTTGTAACCACCACCTGTAACATCCTTTCCTCTTGTGGAAATTCTGCTTCTGATTATTCAATGTGCTCTTCTCATTCTCAATATTCCATTATATTTTTTTAACTACTCTTTTTCATTATTTCCTCTCACTTATTTCCCTTGAGCTCGAGGATAAACAACCAATGTAGAGATTGAATGGCATGAAGGATTTTTTTTTAAACGAGTATATTAATTATTAGATACGTATTATAAGAAGTTTAAGATCTAAAATGACTTATAATAAACAATCTTAAGTTAGAAGAATTTCTAGTAATCTAAATAGAAAATATTATGTACGCACAACCATGTCTTTTATACTAAACGATGTTACATCATATAATTTGCATTTAAGAATTTCTATTTAACTAGTTACCTTAAGAAGTTAATATCAATATTGTACCTCAAAGGTATTTTAGTGTATGTGCATGCAACACCTATATACACAAACAAGTAAAAGCAAGAACGCTATATCCTCTGTTGTCTAGCTTTCCCTTTTAAGAAATTTAACTTGAAGTTGCACCATCCGTTATTCATTACACATCTATTGTGAAGAGGTCTTATTGAAAGTGAAATGTTTGGAACATAGGGTGGCAAATAGGTGACTTCTTTAGTGTAAAAGAAGATAAAAGAGATCGGGTTTACATGGAGAGCTCTCAGAATGCACATGCTCACGCTTGCCCTCTCATTATTCATTAAAATTTATTTCTCTGGATGGCTCTTTTTATTATGTTTCGTCCATTAGAGTTTCCTAATTTAGTAACCTTTTCTCTTCCTCTTGTTTCAATGTAATTCCCTTTTTTGGCTCTTTGTTCTGCTTCACATGCATCTTCACAAACCGTGTGCATGTAGATGCATCCAAAGTCAAATGAGGATACTCACCTTATTTATTTATTCTATTATTATTTACTCTACTTTATTTTTCGGTTATTTCAGTTTTTCTTTTTACTTCAGTTATTTATTAGTATCTCCATATTTATTTGTTTTATTATTATTTACCATACTTTATTTTTCCGTTATTTACTTCAAGGTCAGTGTCTTCGTAGACCAATCCATGGCCTGGTAAACTTTCTGTATAAACAGTATACGTCTTTTCGTACAATAACGCATTTTCACGTGGACTATAACAGGCTTAATGGACTCTGTACATAAATGGGCCTTTTCTGACTCGTGAGTCTAGGCCCAATAGGATCATCCACACAAGAGTTTAGCCTACCGTCTCACTCTAATAGTGACAGTCCTGGAGGAGAGTAGTTGAGACAATGGAGAGTAACAAAAGATGGTCCCTCGTCGGAAAAACCGCGCTAGTAACCGGAGGTACTCGTGGAATCGGGTTAGCATCTACCCTCTTCTCGCTTCGCTTCACTTCTCTCGATCAAAACATATTGAGCTTCTACAACATATGAATCACACTTATGGTCAAGAAAAGTGATTGGATGAGTATTGAATTGATAATAGGCGAGCAATAGTTGAGGAGCTAGCAAGATTCGGTGCAACAGTTCATACTTGTTCAAGGAACCATGAAGAGCTAAAAGCATGCTTGGATGATTGGAAGTCCAATGGTTTAATGGTATCTGGTTCAGTCTGTGATGCTTCTGATAGGGATCAGAGGGAGAAGTTAATTCAAGAAGTTTCCTCTACTTTTAACGGCAAGCTCAACATCCTTGTAAGTTTCTCTAATTGTTGTCTAAAACGATTTTGTGTGTCTCTTATTTGCATTTTGTTCTGATTCTTACGCATTGGAATCATCATATGATCTTGGAATCTTCGAACCAATCTATTTTGGTTGGTCTTAGCCTTGTGGTAGTTTTGCTTTGAGTCATTACTACAGTAGCTTTATATCGTTTCAGTAAATGTAAAGCTTATAGCTATTTTGTTTTTGTTTTTGGCTTGTTGATCTCATGGAAGTGGAGATCTGTTATATAACATGGTGAACATTACTGGCAGAAGTCGGGGTTTGAATCATTATCTTGACAAAAATGTTAATTTGTTTTGTATTTCAGATAAACAATGTTGGAACGAGTATAAGGAAACCAACAGTGGAGTACACGAGTGAGGATTATGCAAAAATCATGTCGACCAACTTGGAATCCGCTTTCCATTTTTCCCAAATTGCACATCCTCTTTTAAAAGCATCTGGGGTCGGAAGCATTGTGTTCATCTCCTCTGTAGCTGGTCTTGTGCGTCTTACTAGTGCATCTATCTATGGTGCAACTAAAGGTGAGTCACTTGTTCAGATAAACCAACCTCAAAAACAAAGGAGGGCCAAAAGCAGATAATATTGCTGGTGTATTCTCTCAGGAGCACTTAATCAGCTTACAAGGAATCTAGCTTGCGAGTGGGCAGGCGACAACATTAGAAACAACTCCGTGGCACCATGGTACATCAAGACCTCACTTGTGGAGCCGGTAATATCTCCACTATATCTTCAAATAATGCGCATATAGAACATTTTTTTCACTTACGTGATGGGAGAAAGAGAGTAGAGACTGTTGGCATATAAACAGAGACCAAACTGCCAAAATTGTATCATGATGTTGACTGGCGCTGTTCTTATGCACATGTTGTTATGTTCTTAACTTCTTATGCAGCTACTTGAGAAGAAAGATTTTGTGGACGCTGTAGTTAACCGGACTCCACTTGGACGCGTTGGAGAACCAGAGGAAGTAGCGTCGCTGGTTGCTTTCCTCTGCCTTCCCGCAGCCTCTTACATTACCGGACAGGTTGTTTCCGTTGACGGAGGATTCACAGTCAACGGTTTCAGTTACGTTATGTGACCACAACCTCTCATCGCAACTTTACTAGTAAGGCAAGAACCTGTTCGTGAGATTTATTTTGTTCACGTTGGTCTTATTTGACATCGTCTTTAAACCTGTAGTAACATTTTTTCCATTTTGAATTTTGAATTTTTGTTTAGTGACTAAAACTTACAAATAGTTCAGAGTTGTTTAAGATGTCGCCAACTTCTCTTAACTAAACTACTCATTGATCGAAGGAGCACTAAGAATTCTAGCTCAGCCCTTGTATTTGTAATATGATTGTGCCTGTCAATGTCTTTTTCCTTTACTCTTCCTCCTCCTCTTCTTAGTAGGATGCTTATCCAAATCCAACGATGATTCAAACCGCTTTTCGCAAAAGAGGATTCTGTAACTTGCGTGAGGTCCTTCAGCGGTTTCACGTAAGGTTGTGTGCCATCTCATTGCGTTTCCAATCTCTTGAAGTTCACTCATCACGTTGATAGTGTCCCTTATGTATACACGTCCACCAGGTCTCAAAATCCGGTCCATTTCTAGCATGATCGTTGTCATGTTACACCTGAATAAAAGACCAGCACGAAAAGTTTCTAAAAATACTCCAAAATGGGAGAGGGGGTACGCATTTTTATTTAAGTTGAGAAAACAAGGTGGCCATTACCTTTTTCTTTCGATTGAAAATAGACCAGCGGCGTGCAGTAAATCATAGGTTCTTGGGTAAGTATCGAACGGTTCACACCTGAAAAAGACAAATATTCAGCAGTAGTTTGAAAGAACAATAATGATATGCTGCTCCACAGAGAGTTATACAAACTAGGGCCTCAAAAAGGATTTAAACCAAGGAAATACGTGAAAACAATCAAAGATCATGACATGGGATAACGATCCTATAAGTTTAATACAGTTAAGAGTTTTTTGTACCAATCGTGCATTACTCCTAGTAGTCCACGGTCATAAATAACAGGCAGTGTATTTGGCCCACTGACCGGAACAACATTGAGAACCCAGCAGTCAACCTTTAGCTCAGCTAAAGCAGCCGCAAATCTGCCAAGAAAACACAGCACTATATGAAGCAAACCATTTTGATTTCATCTAATGATAAGGGCACTGCGGGGAGAGATAGTACCCGCCAAATCCAGCTCTCATATCCATGACATTTCTGAGTCCTATCTGCTTCCAATGTAAGGCACGTACATAGTTTGATATTATTTCTTTCCAGTATTTATATTCAGCTATAAAGAGCTCTTTTCGGGCTATGTACGAATCAATTTGTATTGTCTGTAGCCTATCTGGTGGGGTCTGTAAACGGGATGGCCAAGGAGAAAGATTTGCTCCATATCCATTATCTTCAATCCTAGTGATGCATGCCTTTAGATCTACGTACCTAACATAATCACATACGAGATCTTAGAATCAGTGAATGTGACATATCCCTAGGAAATAAAAGTTGCTGTCTTAGAACAAATTTTGGCCAAAGGAACAGAAGCTCAATGTCAAAGATTGGGAACCAAAGCAGATTCCGGATTTTACTTATCATTAGGTAACCAAAAAAAAGCGGGAAATAAGGTACGCCAAACATACCAAACACTATCTGGGTCATCCTCAGGATTGCATAAAGGAGGCATGATTGCAGCATCACGACTTAAATAACAAGTGTTATTTGTGGGCTTCTGCCAAATAGCTAAATATCCTTCCTTCTTCACAAGAACCCAGCAAAGCCTAGTGGTAAGGTTTAGCATCTCTGAAAATGCAAAAAATAATATCAATCTTACTAATTCACAAACAAGCCTAATCTTAGAAAACACACTATGTCTATATTTCTGTAGACGATTAGAAACTAGCTCCAAATGCAAATTTGATGAACACCAACTCTAATTAGAATTATAGCAAACTGAAGACCACGAGCATAAAAACTATTTCGGCAGTGTAATAGTTCTAAGAGATTGCTCGCAAGATAATTCAAAAGTATGTCAGGCAAAAGAGCTTCAGTTGGTTTGCCTCTATAACCAAAATAGACACTTGGTGGAAAACGTGACATAGAAATGGAATATTAAACTGTATTGGATGATACCTTCCCACTGTTCTTCCAAGGCCTTCTCATGCTTATATACAGGTTGTGCTGCCCAAACAAAATAACCTCCGGCACGAAGCATCCTATTGACTTCAAGGAGCAAGATTCCATCTTCATTTAAAAGAACAATACAGGAAAATCTGTCAGTAGAAGCTAGAATCACTTGGCTCTAAGTTAGACAGTTTACTTAGTCAAGATTCCATCATAAAATAACATTTTTTTCAGTCACTTGAATTGAAATAAGAGTTCTTAACTTCCTCATAAGTAAAATGTTGACAAAAAAGAATCTCATACCATCACGAGTCCAGTTGATTCGGCACCTTGAACAATGAACCAAATCAAAAGCTTGACTTGGGTACAACAATCTCCGTGTGGTGAATGCCGCCACCATTGCAGGAACACCACGCTCAAGAGCAAACTGTATCTGGTTCTCATGAACATCTTTTGGAGCAATAGACATAGTCAACACATCTCGTGACATCAAGTAAGCACCAAAACTCGCCACACCACATCCAATGTCAAGAACAACTCGTGTATGGCTACCAAAACCAATATCAGGAATCATCTACACATACACCCCCAAAACAAAGCAGTAACTTCAGATACAAGAGGACACAGTTAACAAAATAAATAATTTCACAACGATTCTTACCTGAGAGATCTGATCCAAGTACTGATCAGCTCCATGAATAAACTGAGTACCACCACCAGGAAACTTGAACTTGTCATTCTCCTTGAGAATCCAGTTTTGGCCACTTTTGTCTTCAACAAGCCGAGTATGTGGAACATTGTTAAACCACACCTGTAAACAAAAATTCAGAACCTTCCTTAATACAATAAATATTAGATTTGTAAAAGCTTGTAATTGGAGAAGATGAAGTTAAGAGAAAGAAAGTTTGTTAGAGATAACGAAAAATGTATTATCCAGGTCAATGTATTCTGTTTACAAATGTGCTACATATATAGCTGGTTTAAGCAAAAGGAAACCTAAACCAGAATTGAATTTAATCTAATTAACCGGTACAACTAAACCACATCCCTTATATATTAATCCTGAAGCATTCATAAATGCGCAACCTTGGAGAGTATGCTTACGTGTCAAGCTCACAGAGCTTCTCAGCTTTAATTTTTTAATGCACCAACTTTGCTAGGAATGAAATAATGTAACATTTAATTTCTTGCATTTAGAACTATAATATATAGACATTTTTAAGGGACCAACTCTGCTAGGTATAAAACAATATATTTTATTTCCTTAAATGAAAGCTATGGAATTACCTAATATGATTAACATATACATGTAATTAATGATTATGAATAATACATATTTTTGTATCCTCTCTTTTTTTTGTTTAATTTTAAATTATTAAAATAAATTAAACAATCACATTTAAATATATAATAAAAATTAAATTTTTTCTTATAGGTTATATTTTTAATTTTTTTAAATGACCATAAATAACTAAAGTTAGTAGAATCCCACATTGAAAATTTTATGATCAATGGTTTAAATTTGTTTTTTTCCAAAGAAGATACAAATTATCATAAATCGTACGAATATGAAGTATCATTAGTAGATATTCATACTATAAATATGTTAATTTAAAAATTTCAGTGAAAAGGTTTGAGGTTAGTAGATACAAATTATAATATTCGAAAGATTTTTGTAGTTTGTTTTATTTGCTTCTTTTTTAATATCTTTTAGTTTGTTTAGATAATTTAACTAATTTTAAATTATATTTATTAATAGTTTAAATATTTTGATTTTTTTTGTCAACTTTTAATGTTTAACAAATATTTTTTGGGATGATTTCAGATATTGGTTACAATCCAATCTAAACTGAATTGAGAAGATCAAATTGTATCGAATCCGATAATTAGTAAAATTCAAATATGAGTTATGATAATAATACCAAAATCTGAACATACGTGTCAATCAAACTAAAACTGACGAAGTCTCAAACGTCCAGACCTATGAAGATTTAAGATACCAACATTTGTATTCATCATTTTATAATCGATAAATACTGTAGTATTGCAAAATGTTAAAAACCATTTAATGAATAAATATTAGTCTAAAAATTTCACCCCGCGCATGCGCGCGGATTATCATCTAGTTCTAATAGTAAATCTCAACCACTTCTTAACATTATCACCAGAGAGCGTCACGATACCTCGTCGCGGCTTTTAGGCCACGGGATCGGAAGACGGTAACCGTTAGGAACCGGAACAGTGCAATTTAATCCTAATCCTTCTTTGGGACAATGCCGTTCGAATCGCTCTCCACGCGTCGTCGTTTTGAGCCTCTTTATAGCTTCTACGTTATCCAAACAAGGAATGTAATCCGTCATCTCCACTGAACAAATCTCTATCTTCCCCACACTAACTCTAACAGTGGTAGTACGCTCGTCACTACTACTCACAGATTCCGTTTGATTCCCCGATGCTTCTTCCGTCTCGGCGTCGTAATCACCAATCTGGAACTCATCGGACATAGTTCCGTTCTCATCGACGATCCCAAACACCTGAAGATCAACAGTGCTAGGCGGAGGCGGTGGTGTCAGAGGAAGCGGCGGGATCGGGTGAATCTCGTGGATCAAATCGGAGATGTTGTAGTTTTTGCCGAAATCAGGCGAGAGAGCGACGATGGGGGAACGAGAAGGCTCGGAGGAGAAGAAAACGAGGCGGCGGAAGCCATTCTCGGACCAGTGCTTACCGAGGAAGAAGCAAGCGACGGAGTTCAAAACGAAGACGGAGATTTTGAAGAAGTTAGAGCTTCTGAGGAGGTTGCTTCCGGCGAAGAGCTTCTTCATCTATCTTCCGATAATAAGCATAATACTAATTTTGGTTCACTCGGTAAGTGGCGCAGTGACGAAAGAGGGAAAGATAAAACTAATTGGGCCTAGGAATGGCCCATTCAACTATTTAATAAGCCGTTAATGATAGTTAGAAAGTTTAATTTTGAGGGTACACGTGGTTCAAGACCGAGCTAACGGCTTTTTCTAAGGGTATTTGTGTAAACTTGCATCTCAAATCTGATAGATTAACAAATGATAGCTCTTAAATAAGACGTTAATGGCAGTTTAGTGTTACTATAATTTTGCGAAATAACGAGTTTAATTTATTTCAAACAATAAAATAATGGTTTTTTTATACATTGGGCTTATAAGTTTGTTAACAAAGAAAATTATTAAAAAAAAGAAGAATGGATCTAATTGGGCCTAGGAGTGGCCCATTCAACTCTGAGGATGAGGCTATCATAACCATACCCATTCAAGTTATTGATTGCTCGCTGTGCATCTTCCCTGCTTACAAAATTGACAAACCCAAAACCTCGGCTCATGTTCGTATTCTTGTCAAGAGCCACGTAAGCACGGCTTACAGCGCCAAACGCACTAAACAACTCCATCAAATCCTGTTCGCGGGTGTCTTCAGACAAGTTAGTCACACGTACAGAGTTATCGTCGTTCCTAGTGCTTCTTCTGTCTGCACCTTTTCTCATGCTAGGCGGAACATACGCTTCAGTGGATGTAGAAGCTTCCGTAGGCGTTTCCATTAACGACAGGAGATCCCTCTGAGGGCAACGTGCTGTCCAGTGATCACCTCTCATACAGCATATCCTGCAGACCATGAGGACCCCACCCGCATTGCATGCCTGAGACATTGAATCATCTCCTGATGTCGTTGCTTCTTCCGCTTGATTACCTGAAAAAATATACAAAAAAATCTTAAAAATGTGAAAAACAGAGCTAATACTCATATATATATATATATAGAAGAATAAAAATGTAGTTGGCAGCTGGGTGATGAAAGCAGGAATCTACTTTCGAGTAAGAAGACACCAACAAAAGATCTGGGTGGGCATTACGGTCACCCGCTTATAGAAGAACACGGCTGACTAACGTGCCCATCCGTAGCATCAACACTAAGAAAGCAGTTAAATAAAGAAAGCTTATGTGTACAGTTAACAGCCAAGAAATGAGAACACAGCTTTTGCTCACATTTCAGAAAGGCTACCAACAAGATAAGTGATATTGGTAACATACTGACCAATCACAGAAAGAAGCAGCCATATTTGGCTAATATATGATCGGCTAATTGGTCACCTTAAGATAAATAATAAACACTAATAAACCAAAACATTTAGTTAATGATCCATAACCAAAACAGGGTTTAATCCTGCTTTAGTGTTGAGTTGAATCACCAACGACATTGATATAGGTGTGCTTACTGACCATTCACACAAACAGAAGCCAAAAGGCTAACATGTGATTGGCTAATTAGCCACCATAAAAACATAAAAAACCCTATGAAAACCAAAACGCAACGTTTTAATCAGAGTAAAGATTTTTTTACCATGAGCATTAAGTCGTTCCAAGTGGATATCTTCTGTAGAACGCACAGTAAGGTAATGACCAGCTTCCTCACGTGCCGCGTCACCAAACTTTGGCCAGCTCCGTCTCTCTGCAGCTTGTTTGCTGAGCACTCGCTTCTGGACACGTGTCGTCGTCGTGACTCTGACCCTTCTACTTTCTTCGTTGTACCTGTACTCGATCACCTTCCTTATACCGTTCTCGTCAGGTCCGATCACTTCTCTAGGTGGAAGCAGGAAATCAATGTCGTCTTCTTCGCCTATATCTCCCCATCGAAAATTGTTAGCTCTCTGAATCAATGCCATTGCTACTTTCTTCTAGGTTTCAGACTTTTTTCTAATTTTTCGCCGCGTAGCTTCTATAAAAAGAAAGCAAACTAGGGTTTCAGATTGTGGAAACGGTCTTAATGGGCCAAAGGCCCATACGTTCTTCATGGGCCATTTCTGGCTGATTCCGGTTTTGGTAGGATCGGTTTAATAATATTCGATGATTTAACCAACTAAACCCTAAGTAAAATCAAAACCCTTCTCTCGCAAATTCAATCTCCGACACAACACAAACATGGCGAGTTTGGTCCGTCGCGCAGCATCTCGGCTTGTCGGAAACTTTAGCAAAACTCGCTTCTCTGTTAACTCATTTTCGAATCACTCTTTAGCCGCTCATCACCGTCTGCGATATCTGACGCCGTCTATTTCTCGTAACAATCCCTTCTCATCATCGGCTAGAAAGAAAGCTTCCTCAACAGATTCACTTCTCCGAGTGATCGAAACTGAGATCGGATTCGCCGAGCAAGCTGATGATTACGATCGAGTATAAACCCTTTACTTCATTTTAGCTAAGTGATCTCGCAAACCTCTCTTTATAATCTCCTCTGTTTTTGCTTTTGTAAAAAGGTTGAAGAGACACCAAGTGGCTTCCCTTTCAAAATGGAAGACAAACCAGGATCCAAGATCGTGACTTTGACTAGAGATTACCAAGGAGAGAGTGTTGTAGTTGAAGTACACATGACTAATCTTGTGACTGGTGATAAAGGAGATGATGAAGAGAGTGAAGAGAGTGACGAAGAAGAACATGAGGATAAGCCAGAGAAGCCTAAGCAATCTAATGTGCCTCTCTTGGTAACACTTTCCAAGAAGATCGGACCAAGTTTGGAGTTTAGGTGTACTGCTTTTCCGGATAAGATTGTGATTAAGGATATGTGGGTTACGTTTCCTGATGATCCTTCCAAGGATGAACTTGTCTATGAAGGACCTTCCTTCCGGTAATTTTAATACGAAAGTTTTGGTCTTCTGATGTTGTGAGAATTAAAGTTGTGATCTTTGATGGTTTCTTTCTGGCAGGGTTTTGGATGAGAAGTTAAGGAAGGCTTTCCATAGGTACATTGAGATTAGAGGGATAACGCCGGGCATGATTAACTTCTTGCATGAGTATATGATCAACAAGGATAGTAAAGAGCACTTACTGTGGTTGAAAACGCTGAAGAACTTTGTCAAGTCTTGAAGAAAGAAAATAACACCTTTTTCAAGTTTCAGATGCTCTCTGTTTTTCAAATTTTGTATTTGAAACACAATTCTATTATGTTTGGATCTTCTATTTATGTGATGCAAAAAGCGAGTATTGTGAAGTGAAATCACTAACACATTCTCTGAGAAGTATGAGAATCACTACCACTGTTAGTAATAACTTTGGCCAAGTTGTCAAATGTTTCAGTTGAGAATGTATTATGTTTGTATCTGCATCATAAGGATCTTAAACTTAAATTCCTAACATTACAGCTACAGGCAAGAAAATGAAAAAGCAAACAAGCAATAAAGAACTTAAATCTCAAAATGAAAAAATTGTAATACAGGCAAAAATGTGTCTGAGCCCGGGTTCGAACCGGGGACCTCTAGTGTGTGAGACTAGCGTGATAACCGACTACACCACCCAGACGTTTTGTTATATCATTACTTTATCTATTCACTATTAATAATGTTACGTAAATTCCTGGTGGTCTTTCTCCATCCAATTGCCGAAAGTGATTAGACAAAAAGCAACGAAGAGAGTTGGTGCAATGCACACAACAGAATGTTTGCTGTTTCGTTTCTACCTCGTACCACACCCTGCCGTTTAACCTCTGCGTTTCTCTGTCACCTCTCGATCCCACCATCTCCTTCACCACGGCTCCACCATCTCCACTACCACTACCACCAGCAGCCACACCTTCCGTCTCTCTCTTCTTCTCAGGTTATCTCTCTCTCTATTCCCCAAGAATCTCGGAGGATTTATATATTCTCACTTTTTTTTTTCTTATTTTCAGATTCGTTCGTTTAGGAAACAGATCGACATGGCAGCTCCAGGTTTGCTCGATGCGAGTAAAAACAATATCTATTATTGCTATTGGCTCGAGCTCACTTTGTGTTTTTGGTTTTGTAGTGATGAAGCAAAAGACAGGAGGAGAGGCGTACGAGGAAGCGTTGGCTGCTTTGTCTTCTTTAATAACGAAACGAAGTCGTGCTGATAAAAGCAACAACGGAGATCGGTTCGAGCTTGTCTTTGATTATCTTAAGGTTTCTCTTAACATTTTAGATTCTTTTTTTTCTTCTTTTCTATGATGAATATTGTAAAGTTTTTTGCGTAATCTATTTGAAGCTACTTGACCTGGAAGAAGACATGTTGAAGATGAAAGTTATCCATGTCGCTGGAACCAAAGGCAAGGTAATAAGAAATTAAATTTCTGTAGATGTTGTGTAAAAAATACTTAGTGTGTTTTGTTTTGTCAAAGATATATACTTCAGGAGTTTTGTTGGTTTGTTAGTTAGTTAAATGTCTGTTTGAATTCGTTTAAGTTGTCCTTATAACTGCTTTACCGGAAGCTTAACATCCTTTACATGCTAGGAGAGGCATATGGTTTCCTTTCATGGAGTGTCACTTTTGTATGGCTGATTACTATTTGATTCAAAATCTTCAGTGAACTCTTTTGGTGAAAGTGATTTATTGATTGCACGGTTGATCCAAAAAGCTAACGTTATTATTTCTATTTTGTTTTTTTTTTATATATGGCATGAAGGGATCCACATGTGCTTTTACGGAGTCTATTATACGAAACTATGGCTTCCGAACTGGACTCTTCACTTCACCTCACCTCATTGATGTCCGTGAAAGATTTCGCTTGGACGGGTAAGTTTATCTAAGTTGGTTGAAAATTTTGAGAAAAAATATATATGTGCTCATAAAAGCAGGAACCTGATTGAAAACGATAATTTGTTAGCATAATCCTTTTACTGACTGACGTTTCCCCATTAGTTGATTCATGTGCTCATACACATGTTGATTCAAACATATTAGTTTTGACATATAAGTTACATACTCTGTTTCTATTCTCAAACTACGTTCATAGATCCAAAAGTAGCAAACGAGACAGTGATGCTAGAGTGTGTATTCTTCTCATTCATTTTTCGCTTTAACTGATGTGTTTCATTGTTGCAGTGTGGACATTAGCGAGGAGAAATTTTTGGGTTATTTCTGGTGGTGTTATAACAGACTTAAGGTATGTTTTGCAACAAAGAGAAGATTCAGTTAGTTGAATCTCTTTGTTCTGAACCCATTTTATGTATTTTGGGTATCCCGATTGTTATCATCAGCGTAGATTTTCATAGAAATTATTTCACTTATTGGGGTAGTGATGTTTAAGAGTACATAACCACCTTTGGTGTTGCGGTCTAAGAATTTCATGATAAGAACTTATAATGGTGTTAGTGTGCATAGATTTAAATGAAAATGCAAATAGCTTTACTTTTTGACTCAAAAGACAAGGTTGTTGACTATTTGATTTGCAGGAGAGAACTACCGAGGAGATACCAATGCCTTCATATTTCCGCTTCCTTGCATTGCTAGCTTTTAAAATATTCGCTGCAGAAGAGGTTTGATACCAATTTTTACCTTTACTGACCTACATTCATTACCTAGTGCAATGGTGGATGTGAAAGCCTATTTTCTCTTTATTGATACTCCTCTTTGATTCTTTATGCAGGTAGATGCTGCTATACTGGAGGTGGGGTTAGGCGGGAAGTTTGATGCCACCAATGCGGTACGTTTGACCCTTTTTTTCTTATCTAGGGTTGTCTAATTTTTTTCTCTAAATAGGATGTATCCTTTCATCTAATATGTAAGGTTATGGTTCATTAGGACAGGAAAACTTTAATTACTCAAACATAACTCCGAATACTGAAATATGGATTACTTTCAGGAGGTCTGTAAGTAGTCTTTTCTTGTCACTAAATAAGTTCTCATGGGGATTCACTGCTGACTTATTACAGGTTCAGAAACCTGTTGTATGTGGTATTTCTTCACTTGGATATGACCACATGGAGATTCTAGGTTTGTAACTGGGATCCTCTGATGCATGCCATACCAATTTTGTTATAAAGATGTTATCATTGTCCATATCTTATAGTTATCTCGGCTTTAAATTTTGGATCATGACTTTTGTGTTACATTCCTTTTGTTTAATATTGTATCATGATTTATTTCTTCTCTGTGGGATGCATCACAGGTGATACGCTTGGCAAAATTGCTGGTGAGAAAGCTGGAATTTTCAAGGTGGCTATAAACCTTTCCTTTTTTGTAACGTAGTAATACTCTCCATAGTTGCCAAAACTTCCTTGGTCATATTTCAGCTTGGAGTGCCAGCTTTCACAGTACCCCAACCTGATGAAGCCATGCGTGTCCTTGAAGAGAAAGCTTCCGAACTAAATGTATTAACTCAATTTCAATTATGAAACCCTATGGTTATTTAGTATGGTAGAAATGTTTATGTGCTGCTTGGTTGATTGTAGTATATTAGATGTATCATTTCTTTATAATAAAAATTGAGAAATCAATTCATAGAAGCTGTTGTGAAGCTTTTAACATTGTATTGATAGGTGTCTCTGGAAGTGGTGCAACCACTGACCGCAAAGCAGTTAAATGGTCAGAAACTTGGGCTTGATGGGGAGCACCAATACTATAATGCTCGTCTAGCAGTTTCACTTGCCTCTACCTGGCTTCAGCAAATTGGTAAACTTGAAGTTCCCAGTATGACTCAGATGGTAAACTTCTCTTTCTTGTCTTCATTTACTTCTTACTAGACCTGTAACTACTAAGCCTGACTCTCATTTATTGACTTTTCATCTTTTTTCCACATTATTCTTTGGGTTGTTAGAGTATTCTTCCTGAGAACTTCATCAATGGGTTAGCTACAGCGAGTTTGCAAGGACGAGCACAGGTCGTCCCTGATCAGTTTATTGAATCTCGGACTTCAGGAGATTTAGTATTTTATCTAGATGGAGCTCATAGTCCAGAAAGCATGGAAGTATGCGCCAAATGGTTTTCGGAAGCGGTTAAGGGAGACAACCAGTCAGAGAGTTCTAAACATTTGGTTAATGGCTCCTCTCATGATAAATCGTCAGGAGAAGAAAACTGCCAACAGGTAAGATAACGGGTTTCTTGTTTTTGTCTTGGGCAACAGCGAATGGATTAAGAGTATCTTCTTAAATGTCTATATATACTTCTTTGCAGATATTGTTGTTCAATTGTATGTCTGTTCGGGATCCAAATCTACTGCTTCCACATCTAAGGAATACATGTGCAACCCACGGTAAGTTCTTGAGCCTTGTGTATTGCGTAAACAAGCCTTAGCAGAAGAGTTAATACAGATAATTAGGGAAAGGTGAATAATGGTTTGATGTGTAGGTGTGCATTTCAAGAAGGCATTGTTTGTACCAAACATGTCAGTGTATAACAAGGTTGGCACAGCGGCGGATATGCCAGAGAATGATCCAAATGTTGACTTGTCATGGCAGATGACACTCCAGAAAGTGTGGGAAAGCCTTGTGGACAATGAAGATAATGAAAGTGGTGGGAAGAGTGAGGTGTTTACTTCACTGCCAATGGCAATAAAATGGTTAAGGGATAGTGTACATGAGAGTGGCTCAGGCACACGTGTCCAGGTATAAACGCTAAACCCTTTGTTACTGAATATTGATGGCTCTTAAAACTTAAGTAGCTAGCTCAAGGACTGTGTATGTGTACAGGTTCTTGTAACGGGTTCTTTACATCTCATTGGCGATGTACTGAGAGTAATCAGAAAATGAAACACATGTCATGATTATTTCAAATTTCTCAATACACTACCCACACTAAGTCACCGTACGGACCTGGGGCGGAAGAACACTTCGTTATAAACTCTTTTATCTTGTATTATTACGATTTTACTTTCCACATATAGATTTTATTTCAAAGGAACAACAGATTCACAAAATGCTAGCTTGATTTATTTATTTTAGACTTCAGATATAAAAAAAATATCAATTGAAACGCAATGTACGATGTACTGGTTCGTTACACCTTGTAGGCAATGTACATTAATCAGAAAGTGAAGGTGAACAAAACAAAATAAAAAACATGTCATGATTATTCAAATTACACTCTAAATCACAGAAGCCACCGGTGGAAGAGGATGGTATTTATGATGAACTCTTTTCTTTTTTTTTTGTCAAATGATGAAACTCTTTATCTGTATTATTTTCAAAGATTAAAAAAATATTGAAATGACCAAACCTTTGTTTTCCAGCACCACTCATATATTATATCAAAATCGGAAATGTTAACTTCAAAACGAACAAACACACTCATAAACAAACGGTCTCTCCTCTAAAGCCTTTGCCGGAGCTGTTGGTTCTCTTTACGCAACAATTGTAACTCCTTCATTAGCTCCGCCTGGTTCTCCAGAACCGAGCTTAATACCTTCGACATCTCCATCTTTATATAAAACAACAGAATCAGCTCTTAAGTCGACATGTGTGTGAGAAAAAAAAAACATTAACTACCTCGTGCATGTGGAACTGTCTAAGGATCTCGATATGCAGGTTTCTCATGTCGTCATGAATGGAGTTTTGGAATGAATCCAGAGTTCCTTCCAGTGTTCTTTGAAATAGCTGAAGTGTGAAATTGCTGCCACCCACCACTTGCTGTTGATCATTTTGAGACTGTCTCATGTTTCCTCCCTGCTTAAAGATTTGCACAAGTTTACAGATAATCCCAAACGAAAGAAAGAAAATGATTTAGTGAAATTTTTTTACATACATTCATAATCGGAAGAGCTTCCGTTGCAGCTACCATCTCAGGTCTTGGCATCAGATTACTTAAGATTTCCTCTCCTGTTTTCTTTATCTTGGGTGAACCCGAAGAAGGAGAGGTCCCGTCACTAAAGGAAGGAGTGGTTTTGATTCTCTCAGCATATGACCTAGGAGGAGTAAAACTTGGTGATAGCCTCAGTGATTCAATTTTACCCGGACCTGCGATGACTTTTGATAACAACGGGCTTGAAGGTAAGTTCTCGGAAGCTGAAGAGAAGTCTCTGATCCGTGGGAATTCCGAGCTAACGTTTGTCTGACCAAAGGACAAGGGAAAATCTCGAGAGGTAGAGAACATTGATCCAGATGTACTACTACCACTTGTGCTTGAAGCCCCGAGACGTGAAGGTGCATGCAGGTGGCTAAATTTATCAGAGAGTTTCTCATTATTGGCCAGTTGGTTAAACTTCTCAGATAATCTATCGCCACCCCATGATTCTGGAGGTGTCAAAGAAGAGTCTTCACTTTTGGTTGATGCTGTTGGCGTAGTGGTTCCGAATGGAGAAAAAGCAGCTTTCGTGTCATCCTGAGTGAAAAAACAGAGAGAATAATAAGTCCAGCCCTTGGAGACATAATTAAGTTATGCAATGTGACTTATAAAGATAGTAACACATACCTGTTTCGAAGTAGAACTTGATTTCCAGTCAAATATCGTATGTTCCTTGTTTCCATCATCTCGAAATGGAAATCCCTTGCTAGCTGAAGGAAATAGCAAAGAGGAAGGCTTTTTGTCATCAATAAAATGATCTTTATTGTTGAATCCTTCACTATCAGCCCACTTCTCAACAGATGAAACATCAACGATAGGGGAAAACACACGCATATCGTCATTGAAACTGTCACTTGCACGAAGTGCATGTAGTCTTCCCAGTGGCGCACCAGGCCATAGATGAGTTCTGTTTGGTGTTTGTTCTGAAGATGACACGTTCGACGTACTCGTGGCAGTTCCACGAGAACCTGGTACCAAAGTCGACTGTGAATCTGAGGGTGTCGTTGACGGAAGTGGATCAGGAATGATAGCTGAATCGTCCACAGTACCACCAAGAAGAGCCATCTCACCCGTGTAGTTTTTCTCATTCACAATAACTGGTTTTGATGTTTGCCATGATAAACTTGTTACAGCCTGTATTAATAAAGCAGAAACTTAGTTAGCTTTTTCAGTCCAAAGTTTAATAGAATTATCTCCCACCAAGAGAGCCCCCACTGACCCCATCAATATAGACATCATTTCACCAAAAGATACTATTGGAGATTTCAAAATCAGAAAATACGAAAAAAAAAAAAACAAAAAAACAACTAATGGTGATAAGTCGAAAATGTTCAATCCATGGAATTAGAGGTCATTAGCTAGGGAAGGCTAAAGAGATTGCATTGAGTTAGAAATGTATTGACCTCTGAACTATTGTAAGCGTGCAGGACAGTGACAGGCTGTGGTTTTCCACGAACGTCGTAAAACACTACTCGACCATTACCGGTTCCAGCTGCCAGAATGTAACCATTATCCCCAAACGCCAAAGATGAGAAAGGTGCCTCATAAGAAATGCAGGACGAAGATCTTCTGGATCCAGAGTCATAAGTGTAAAGCTTTTTGTCCATCCCCACACTAGCAATTATCTGTTAATAGTATATTACTTAGTAACTGTTCTTATAAAATTTATCTCAACGAGAATTAGAAAGGCCTATCAAAGTTGAGGGTGTACATGTATACTGGTCAGGATTTGAAATCACATTCATCTGACTCTTTGCAATGGTGTACCAAGTATCACTGATTAGGATTCATTTACCTTTTCGTTTGATGGAGAGAAGCATACACCCGCAGCTGGTGCAGAATGCTGCTTCAACCAGGACATCTGTGGAGATACCAGAAACTAAAGAGTAAGTATAAACACATTATTTTGTAACCCCATCAATAACAGTACATGAAATCTTGTAAACATTAACAGAATCGCAATAGGTACAAAAGCAGACCTTTGGGTTACGACCAGTCGTGTCCCACAGATGCACGGTGCCATCATCACCCGCAGTAAGTAGAAGGTGTCGACTGGACCTTGAATAGTCAAGCACCCTCAATACCTGGTCTTGAAGCAATTAGAAAGCCAATTAGTTTTGATGACCGAGGTTCTGAACTATGGATGAAAGTATACATGTACAAAAACTGAACAACCTGCCCATGTGGATCTTTTAGTTCGCTAGCCCTAGCTCCAGATGCAAGGTTGTGAACTATCAGATCCCCACCAACACTGACAGACGCCAAATGCTCATCTTTGCAATTGTACATCACGCCAGTTATCGTACTTGTATGACCCCTCAGCTTCTTAATACAAAGCTTTCTTTGCAGATCCCATATCTTAACAAGTTGACCAGTTCCACCAGAAGCTATGTACCTTGACCCTTTTCTGCTGAAACTAATAGCCGACAAACATTCCTGAATTCATTATGACACAAGCAAATATCCATAAATAATAACATTCACAATGGATTTGGCAGTTAATCTAGAGAAAATGCAAAGACTTTGGAAGATGGCGAAAACAATGATGTACCTTATATTCTCTTTTTATAATTATGTTTCAACTCATGAAGGAGCCTAAATGTGACTACGGAATCCGGATCACATCATAACGGGGACAATGAATTCAGATGTTGGTTATAATAACCACACTACTGTTTTCATCCTCATTCGTTCTTAGACTCCAAAATAGTTGTGAAGAAACAAACACATCTACCAAGGATACAACAATTCACATTTTCCTAAAAGAATATAAAGAGATCTTCTTTTACACCCATTTTATCTAAGATACATTTACTACTAAGAGGAAAAGGCTGTGACTGTTAACAAATAAGATATGAAGCAGAAAGAACACTAGAGTGAAGAAACTGATATAGAAAGGGATTTAACCTCGGCAGTACTATCACCACCGTCCTTCCCAGCAACCGGAACTGTTCCTAGACTGCCCCCATTAATCCGCCAAAGAGATATCTTCTTATCATCTCCCGCACTCGCCACAACTAAATCTGCATCCCATAAAAAAAAAGAACCTCAACACACATCACAAGAAATAAAGATAAAAAATCTTCTCCTCCACCAAAACCAAAACCAAATCAAATCACATAAACAAGTTCCTTCCATTTGAATCAAATAGTAACACAAAGGCATTTTGCAAGCAACCTGTTCATTTCATTCATCAGCAAATTGACTAATTACATTCCCGAATACATATCCCTAACTCAATTTTGTGTTCATTTCATTCATCAGCTATTGACTAATTACATTCTCAAATACTTATCCCTAACTCAACTTTCTGTTCATTTCATTCATAATTACATTCCTAAATACTATCCCTAACTCAATTTTGAACAGCAGATCACAACATATCTAGATTCATTCTTAGAAATGCGATTGATTAGGGATTAGTTACTCGTGTGATTCCACTTTACGGAGTTTACGGCAGAACCAGGCGACGGAGTATAGCTCAATACGCAGGGATCACCGGAATCGGCAGACACGTCGAATAGCTTAACCGTATCTCCGCCGCTCGCTGCGAGAAGGCGCCACGTAGGGTCCACCAAGTTCGACATCTTCACCGGCTTTCCTTAGACTCACAGTCCCGAGAAAACTCGAAAGGATATCTCAGAATCTGAGACAATGCGGGAGGGGGGAACCCTACCTTTCCTTCTCGGAGAGAGTAGAGAGACGAACAGTGAGAACAGTTTATTTATTTTAAAAGTTTAAATTAAAATTTGAATGCTTTGTGCAGTTGATTATGTGGTGGGTCCAGTGGGCCCTCTGTAAAAGTGAAGGTTCATAATTTAAATATTGGTAATGAGTCGCGATCAGAAAAAAAATTATAATAATAAGGCAACAGACTATTAACACTGCAGCCCATTATCAATTGAGGCCCAAACTAATGAATTAGACACTTAGAGGACTTGTCATATTGCAGTTTAGTCCTTTAGTGTTATTTTCTTTCTATTCCTACCTCATAACTTTGAGTGTGTATGGGTTTTCCTCTTTTATGATTCTTTAGCCTTATAGCATCTCTAATGGTGTACTCCACTGGAATCCTTAGTTTTTTATTTTCAAATTATTATTTTTAGTTTAAAACAAAAAAGTAAAAAATACCAACCAATCGCGAACCGTCATGTGTTTTGAGGCCTGTAAATAATGTAAGGATTCGTTAAGAAAAAATCTTTATTTTAGAATTTTAAAGATTGAATCCTTAACTTTTGATAAATCCATTGATTAATTAATTTTTTTTTTAATAACTCTCTTTAAAAATCTTTGTTGAGGGTACTTTTAGTCACTTTGACCTCTCCACCCCCCCCAAAAAAAAATATCTAGGAGAGGCAGTTATATGCCAATTTTTGTTCTCTGTTGATTAAAAAAACAATGTAGTTCTCTGTTTAGGGTATAATATTATGAGACAGATTAAACCAGAGTTTAGACACAATTTTGTTAATGATTAGAAAACAAATACTGATTCTAATAAGCTAAAACTATAACCGGATTTGCAATAAAAGACGTCTATGTATAGTTTACATGATTAACATAGTAGTAATTCGTATGTTATATTGTAATTACGTAAGATGAAAGTAACATAAAACAGATAAGACGTTAGTTAAATCTCTGTAGAGAAACAATTGGATAAGAAATACGCATCCTACCCATTTTCTGTTTTGTTGTCAACGTTTTTGGTGTCGGCATATGTGTGTTTATATATCCGCCGAAATAAATTTGCAAGTGATTTTTGATTCTTGATATCCCAAACATAATCTTTATACGGCGAATCTTACTAGATTTGGAGAAGATAAAATGCAATCAAAATTAAAGAGAGAAGATAGACGTGGGAATATGCCGCAACGTTTCAGCTTGTTATGTTTCAACCTCTACTTTTTAAAAAAATTGGAATAAATCAAGTCATGAAATCTATTTTTGATAATGATAGACTTGACCATGCAGATATATGCTTGGCTGAGATCGGAATTTCTGGTAGAAGTATTAAATATATATCTTGTTCAAAAAACAAAAGATTAAATATATAGTATTATTTACTGGTTAATAGAGAGATAAAAATATCAGTTATAAAATAAATGAAATGTGTGTGTCACAACTGAGTCTACGACGAATAAATGGGAATTGGATTCATATCTTATGAGATACTTTACTAGCCATCTTGTATCCTAATTAATCATTCTTCTCAAAGTGTGATGTGATTTATCTACTGAGATTTTGGATTGAGCATTTTTATGTTTTGCTGATATTGCATTCTACTTTTTTCTTGTAAACCCACATTAACGGTATAACATTGTCTCACTGTCCACATTATCCAGTATATAATTCTTCGGTGTTATTATCAAAAAATATCTTATTGTTACCAACAAGTCGAACAACAACCCATTCCTACATTACGTCGAAATATTTACTTTTTTAAACTCGTCTTAATATTCGAGAGTTGAGAATGTCCACATGCATGAATAACCCTTTAGTCCATACTCCTCCATAATAGTGTGACTCAGTCTAAAAAGATGTTAGATGAAAAAAAAAGCTACTCCTTCAAGAAAAAAGTGGATTTGAGTCACATGCATGAACGAATTAATTGTATATTAAAAAAAGATGAGTTAGATAGAGATTCTGGTGTATGTTTATATGCCAAATATCAGTAATCACCACGAGTCATTTTTCATTGTTATAAAGTGAAGAAAAAGAAGAAGGCAAAGAACTTATCCAAATGAGAACAGAGAAGTGAATTAATTGTAGAGAAAGAGTACAAAAGTAGTAAAAGCAAAGTTTATCCACAACATCAACAAGAAAACACACGTGTCGAAATTGAGAGAGCTGAAGACGGCGGCAGAGCCACGTGGGGATCACGTGAACCCATCTCCGTCTCATCAGAAGTTGGTTATATATAACAGACCGTTGGGGGGGAGTTAGGGCAAAACCAAAATACATTAAGTCATCATCCTCAATAACTATCATTATCCATTTCTTCTCTCCCTTGTTCTCTCTCTCAGACACAACTCAAAATCTTGAGACCGTCTCTCTCTCTCTGACTCTACTTTCAAGAAAGCTCATAGTGAGATCTTTTGAATCTAATTAGTCACTAATCCATGGATATGAAGAATACTAAAGCTAATTCCTCATCTTCTTCACCTTCTTCATTTGATCATCTATTTGGTCCCAAAGGATCAGCCTCTGCTACTTCGGCTTCTTCTTGTTCAACTATACTCGACTCCATTTTCCCTCCTCCTGTAATATATCTACTTAACATGTGTGTGCATACATGCATGTATATATATGCTGAATGTTATAGTATGTGCATGTAACATGCATATTTCAACGATCAATCATCTAAATAACACATATAACTAGTGGTTGTGTCGAATCTAACTGAAATTGTTAGATTTTATCTATACACACATAGAGTAAAATTGAATTATGATGCACACTTTCTGTAGTTTTCTTTTGGAAATAGATAAGGTTTTATAACAGATAAGGCTTTTTCTACAGTCATAAAGAACTTTCATTAGTAGCTACACGACAAGTAAGCAGATAAACGATGCATGTATCCTCTTAGGGATGCATATTCATATATGTGTGGATGTGTGTGGTTTGTTTCTTTTTCTTAAATTGAGCTTGTAGTTAACTTGAAGAAATTGATAATGCAGGTAGCAAGCAACAAGGTAAATCACACTGCTCATGGAGTTCAAAGCAGCATTTCTCAAACCACTGGTAATCTAATTTTGAAAAATGTAGAAGTTTATTTCACCATAGTAATTTATAAACTAGTCAACTCATAATAATTTATACTCTTTTCGTTTCAGTTTCAGTTTACATGTTACCGTAGAAAAAAAAATTTCATTACATGTCACCGTAGAAAAAAAAATTTCGTTTAAAAGTAAATGATGTTTTATAATTTCGATGCGAAATTTATTAATTTTTTATTTTTTTATTTTTATTATTTGAAATGTAGTTAAGTGTATAATTAATTGTATTTTTATTTTTAAAATATGAAAAATTAAATACTTTCTTGATAAATCTATGCAAAAATCTAAAACGACAATTAAAATGAAATAGATAGAATCATGTTTTTAATTATTAATTAATTTTTAGATATTTTTTACTTTTTCATTTTAGTTTTAAGTATAATCAGAGCTGCTTATAATCAAGTTAAACATTTGACGAATAACATCCATTTTCTTATAAAGTAATATATAATCTAAGTATTAAAAGTAAGATTCTTATTAGACTGTTATGAACTGAAGCTGGGTTTAATTGCATCAAATTATTGGTAGTTCCAAATAAGATCATCTACGGCCATTTGTCTATAATGATTAAAACATTATAGAATTTAATGAATTTAAGACTATGAATAGTTCTATGATTGTTTTTCTTTTGTTCTAACTATCTTTTTGGTTTGTTTCCAAAGATGAAAGAAGCATCCATGAAAGTAGAGAAGCTTCCTACTACAGTTCCTCCATTTACTACGGAGGCCAGCAACACTATTCACCTCCACGAACCGATGGCATCTCCACTTCTCCATCTCATCACAACAAAGAAACTGATGACACAAACGCTACTTCCAGGGGAAATTGGTGGAAAGGTCTTTACCTTTATCTATACCTTAATTACCTATAGTAATCACTTTTTCTTAATCACTCCACTAATTAAGATTATTGGTTTCATTATTGCAGGTTCTTTGTACTACTAAGAGGACCAACCTAACTAGTCTTCACTTGATTACCCGCAATGGCCATATATTTAGGCATTCATATCCGTAACTTCGCAGTGTGTGTGTTTTTGGGTTTTGTTTATATAGTTTTCATCTTTTGTTTTTTGGTTGTAATCCTACTTAGTTTAAGATGGCGATTATTTGACCGCATCTACCACTAATGTATGGTAAATAAAATACTCACGATCTTAGTAACAAGTTATATTTTCATAACCAACAATCGTGTTTAGTCAAGTTTTATTACTGAAACCAAGTAATACACATACGTGACATTTTATACTCGTTTCAGAACACCTTTATTGCTCTGTCTGCTACTTCAAGGCAGAGTATAAGCTGCAAGAAACACAAAGTAACTTGATAAGAAAATTTGCATCTGCGACCGACAGAGATTTTTTTTTTAATAAGCAGTTATGTTATTATTACCTCCACATTTGTAACCGACGGGACGATCAGCGATGTTGCAGCGTTTAGGAATGGTCATTGAGATTTCTGGCTTTGCTCCAGAGTTCCTAGCTGTAGAGGAGAGCATGACAGCGCAAAGACATTTTGGGTTCTGCCCCATTTGTTTAATTCGAACACAGCAAGTTGCTGAAACTTTGGCAGACTTGTCTCGTGCAGCCATTGCACAAGGAGCCAGCTTTATGGCTTCTCTATCTGGAGGGTTCCTCCCACATTCTCCAGCTCCATGGACAGTAATTTTAAGGCTGTAGAGGCAGAGAACTAGGACGAAAATGCTAGATAAAACGTGGGTTTTCATTATGTAAGAAGACTTGATATGTATATAGGTCTTGTGCAACCTGAGATTTATAGAAATTGAAAATGGTAGGATCAAAGAAAAATCTACATTGAAGGTAGTGGAAGAAGCACTAAAGGAACATAGTAATTACTTCACCTAATCAGTCGCATTAAGGGCTCAAAGTGTATATAGTTATTATAATCTAAAGTAAGGTAAGAGTGCTCTTAATCTTCTAGCTAAATCATTTCAAACCCTTGGGAAAGCAAAGAGGTGTTTTTACATGACAAACCAATAGGCAATATAGCACTAACCAAGAATTGTACTTGAAGAAACGATTATCAAAGGCCTTAATGAGCCTTCAGCAAGAATTAAGCTCTATGTTCTTCAAGATCTAGAAACATTAGATCCTTCAGTCCTCAAAATAACTGATGAACAGAACTCAGCTTAAGCAGATCTAGAGATATGCGACAGACGCAAAGCTAGAAACAGCTGGAAAGTTCTAATCCAAAGGCGGGACATCAAAAAGTTCTTACTTTTGATGTTGATTCCAAGCAAGTAGTGTAAAAAAAAACCTTCTTTGTACAGTAACTCTGCTTTATCAATATCCAAGAGATCAAACCAAACAGCTCTAAGCTGCACATCACCTCATAAAGATTCAGTCCTAAACGCAACTGCTGAATAGAACTCAGCTTAAGCAGTTCTAGACAGAAGTGAGAGAGAGGAAACTAGAAAAAGCTGAAAAACTCTAAAAATTTCTCGCTTTTGATATTAGATTCCAAGTAAGGTAAAAAAAACACCTTCTTTGTACAGTAACTCTGCTTTTATCAATAATATCCAAGATATCAAAACCAAACAAGCATCAGAATCCAGCATAATCTAACACACACCCATGTCCTCGGATCGAATCTCTATGAATCGACCAGTTGACTATTCCTGATAACACAGATCATAATCCCAATCTAATGAACCATATCTCAGAATCATTCTCATTCTCATTCTCAATCACACCATTCAACATACAAAACATGTTTCCTTCCTATTAAGCAGTTCTAGAGATATATGTGAGAGAGAGAGAGAGAGAGAGAGAGAGAGAGAGAGACAAAAGCTAGAAACAGCTGAACAACTCTAAAAGCTTCTAGCTTTTGATGTTTGATTCCAAATAAAGTAAAAAAAAAACACCTTCTCTGTACAGTAACTCTGCTTTTATCAATATCCAAAATATCAAAACCAAACAAGCATCAGAATCCACCATTCAATCATAATCTAACACCCCCATGTCCTGATAAGTTAACCAGTTGACTAGTTGCTTTTACGAATCAACCAGTTGACTATTCCTGATAACACACAGAACCCTAATCCCAATCTAACAAACCATATCTAAAAATCAGAATCATTCTCATTCTCAATCACATCATTCAAAATTACAAAACATGTGTTCCTATTTGCAGAGTTACAAAAACATTATTTCTCTCTCTAACGAGTAAAAGCATAAAGCATAAGCGAAACATAAATAAACAGCGCAGAAGGAACCAAAATCAAAAGCGGCACAACCGCCGCATAACTATGCCCACTCCCCCCACACCCGAAACTCCCCAGCTTAATCTGAACCACATTAACCAACGCCAACATCAAAAAACCACACCCGCTAACCGATCCCAAACCGGATACAACCATCCCGAATCTCAGCGCCGTCTTGTTCACATAATAAACCACCGGATCGATCCGCGCCGAGAAGTGAGGGAACGAGGCCGCGATGTTGAGCCGCATCGCCTGTTTGAGTCCCAAGGCGATTAGGCTTGAGAATAAGAAGGATGCGAAGGAGTAGACGTGGAAGGCGACGAGATTCTCGGCCATTCGGGTCGTCGGGGTGCAGTTCGGGTCGGTTACGAGGCTGTTGGAGGGGTCGGAAGGGTTCCAGGCTAATCCGACGAAGACGGCGAGGGTGAAGAGGGAGTTCACGTTCACGATTCCGTCGAGTGCTGTGATGTGAATGCTCGTCGTCATTTTTTTGGATTCTTCTCCGTTAGATTCGATTCGGTGTGACTCAGATTTGACTCCGATTTAAAGAAGAAAGGAAGAAAAAAAATTTTGATGAAGGAACCAAAAAAATTAACGCCGTTGCCGGAGATCGAACCCGGGTCACCCGCGTGACAGGCGGGAATACTTACCACTATACTACAACGACTCTTGCTGTTAGAGTTTTAGAAACGTCTATGTTGTCTGGAGAGCTAATCTTTTAGACGTTAATGATTCGTCCATAAATAAAGAAGAAGAGAAGGAAAAAAAAAGATTTTTCTATATTACAACGACTTTGTTGTTTATAATATGTTTGTTTGGTGATTAGTAATGCTTAATATAGATATAAAGGATATAGTTTTAGACGTTATTAATGATTTGTTGGTGTTGTTTTACCAATAAATAAACTGGTTAATATTAGTAAAGCTTAATATTTTCTTGAAATGCTGATCTTTTGCACCTTATTAATGATTCGTCCAGAAGTAAAAAAAGAAAAATTTTCTATCGTACAACGACTTTGTTGTTAAGTTATTAGTAATGAATGCTTAATTGTTTTCGTGAAAACTAATCTTCTGCACGTTATTTATGATTCGTCCAGAAATAAAGAAGAAGAAGAGAAGGAAAAAAGTTTTTTCTATACTACAACGACTTTGTTGTTTATAATATGTTTGTTAGGTGATTTGTAATGGTTACTATAGTTATAAAGGATATAGTTTTGGACGTTATTAATGATTTGTTGGTGTTGTTTACCAATAAATAAATTGGTTAACCAACTATAAACAAAGCAGATGAGAGAATGTTTTGCTAAGGACACCTCTCTCACCTTTGTATGTTTTGATTTGCAAATGTAGACACTAGAATAAGACAACAAAATGCTATAAGTTAAAATACCAAACAAATACATATATATTTAAGCTCTTAAGACACAATGTACTTAGGAGTACCCTTTTGATGGACTGATGTTGAATCTCTTTTCTTCTCTTCTTCACCTTCTTTACCAATCTAGTTTCTTATCACTGCTGCTTCTGGACTCTCTGATGGATCAACGCATACTTTTAATTTCGACTCCATGCCAAGATAGTTGTTCAAGGCCCTTCTCACTCCAAATCCTCGAGAAGGAAGACCTTTCTCATTGGCTTTGATGGTGTTCTTGCTTGAATAAGAAGGTGTTCTCTCTCCTTGTCTAGGGCTAATCATTGGACCAGTCCGAGGAGAGAAGCCTGGTGTCGTTGAGAAGCTTGTTCTGTATGGTGTTCCTGATGCAGATAGTAGATAAGGGACTGGTACTACTTTCTTGTGTCCTACAACGCTGACCCTTGGACTTGACAACACATTGTTATCATCAGGCTGTTTTGTTAAGTCGTCCACGTAGAGTAAATCATCGATTCTTGCCACGATGTTTGATGCTAAGCTCTCTAATGCCCTTGAGTAGCTCTCTAAGATTGACTTCCCAATATCCTGATTTTTTGTAAAAATACAGTATTAAGTAAAGAACAAGCAAAGCAAGGTAATGTAACGTTTTGATTTTGGACCTTGTTAGATTGAATCTTGCTAATGTCTAGGGAAGTCTGCGTTAGAGATGGAAACCGCTGCTTCAAGCAACGTAAGAGAGTTTCGGATCTCTCCACTAGTAATCCTCTCTTGTCACCAGCAGCCATTAGATCTTTCACCATCTCCCATGATAACTTTGGTGTAGAGCTTGAAGTGTTATTGACTCCAAGTTTTGTTTCAACTCTTCTGCGCCAAACATAAATGGAAGCTTCCACACGGTTTGCGATATCAAGAGCAATATGCTCAGAGGAAAGATCTAGACAATCAAGAAGACACTCTGCTGAAAATTTCTCTGATGTTATGTATCTGTAGATAACATCTCCAAGGCAAGATCTACCGTTCTGCAACACGAGTGAGAAGACTCAGAAGAAAGACATTAACAGAAATGTTTTGAGTTAAAGATAGAAAACCTTAGGAAGGGTTTCAAGGTATGATTCAGGAACATCCATTTCGGTTAAGGAAACACTGTTTATAGCCATTGCAGCTTTAAGTATCTGCGTTGCACAGTCTTTCTTGTGGTTTAGTTCTGTTCTTGCATCTTCTGTAAGACCATTAGGTGCTAAACGAGGAACAGGCAACCACCATTTCTCTTCTTGGCGCTGAATCTTTCTGCGGAAAGAAGCTGAGCCATCGTTTTCAGAAGCTACAATGCCTTGGTCAACATACCAGAACTCTGTTTTCTTGAAACTCGCCAAGATCTCCTGTTTTGCCAACAAAAGAGAAAATTATAACTGACACCAAATGGTTTGATTATTGTGAGATAATTTTTAAGAGGACTCACAAGAAGCAGATTGTCTAGTTTACGGAGAGCTGGGAGGTTGATGAAAAGATCAAATCTTGGTCTGCAAGTCATGACCTGAAACATCCATAAATGATAAAACTGATACATTACTGCACACACTCCAACAAACTAAAAATTCAAGAACTTACCTCAAACTTTTTACCGTCTGGATAAGTTTGAGTTGAAGGTGTTAACTCAACAATATGATCACTAACGCTAAGAATCCACTCCATTTCTCTTCTCCACATGGCTTTCTTCTCGCTTGGAAGAGGCTCTAATCTCCATAACTGCCCAAAGATCGTAGCTAAAAAAGAAAGAAACATGTTAAACACATACAAGAAAAAGTTTTGAGATAACACAAAGATAGTGTTTTACTTACCACAGAGATTGGTGATGGCGTTGGAGATGGCTAAAGCTGTGCACACGCCTTTCCCTGAACCTGACATATCTTCACCAAGTAATAACTTTGCAAATCTCTCCTTCATCATATCCATGTCTAATTCAAAATCATATAAACAACAACAAACACATGATAAGATGTTGGATAAGAAAAAAAAAAGGTTCAGTTTTTATTTTTTTTTTCTCTTAAAAAAAAACAGAGCAGTAACTAACCTGCAATGTTCACTTCCTTTGCTTTAAACCCGGAATCAGTGACGAGGGCAGGTTTGTTATGGTCGAACTTGATGTTTTCCTTTGAACTCTTACGAAACGAGGCTTTCCTTATCGGCCAACCAAGAATTGATGATGGTGGCGGAGAAGACGAAGCGGCAGCGCCTGAAGAATTCTCGTAGCTCGATCCGCTCGTGCTGCTTCTCTCCTTTGATTCAGTCAAGACACCTCTTTTCTTCTCAATCCCTGCGCAGCTTTTCACTAAATTCTCCATTTTTTAAAACTACTAACCGAACTTAGAAAAACTGGTTTTGTTTGAAAGACAGGATAGAGAGTTTATGAAACGGCTATTAAAGGTAAGAACATGTCCTCTTGTGAGAGAGAGAAATCCAAAAAAAGTTATGTTTCTCTGTTTTAGCTTCTTCCTCTGTCACGAGTATAATAGTAGAGAGTAATAGTGATATATATTGACTTTTATTTCAAAACATCCTTTATATACTAAAACAAAAGTCACATGACCAATCATATTATGACACATGTCTTGAGTTTAAAAATTAATTAGAAAAAAAATTAAAATCATCAATAATCCACAGAGTTTTTTAAAACTACCCAGTAAAACCGATCTTCATTTACGCCCACGAATTCTACCATTTTCAATTTGTTTTGAATCCCAGATCTCCCACTTTATCATATAACATGTTTATAACATAATTTAAACGAATCTTTAAAGTACAATTTATCATTTCATTTCTTCTACATTTTCAGTTTTGATTTTGACAGGTTTCTTCATTCTTCTCTTTTTTTTTCTGGACCAGTTAGAACTTTTTTTAGTTTTGATTTAGATCATTTCTATTTTGTTCGCTATGGCAGAATAAAATTGTTTTGGAACCTCTTTTGAAGCATCAATTGGCTGTGGCGGTTCAGTTTGAAAGTGCGTAGAGAAGAGCTTAATGATTTTGGATAGATTCATATGAATTTGCAGGTATCCAATAAATTCATAGGAAACTCATTCTGCAAAATCGAAGTAAAATAATAGCATAAATATTTTGTATTGTTTGGTTTTGAATTTATTTTAGTTCACTGCAGGCATGTTTAAGATGTCAAAGCTGATCGAAGAAGACCATATGAGAAATCAAATAATATGGTGGATCAGAACTGTTCCTGAGTAAAGTTGGGAAGTTTGAAGATGAGTAAAATGCAAAACTTTTGACCATTTGTTCCAGGTAACAAAATAATTTTGTTTACTTTTATCTTTTAAAAAAACATATACAGAGTCAAATTTTTGATGCTGTAAATTATTTATTTTTAAGTTGTAAAAGTTACTCAAAATCGTGCCAACTCAGAAACAATTTAAATTTAAATCATTTTTATAATTAATCTGAAATTTATCAAGTTTTAGCTGGGAAGTTTTACAAACTATGTAAAAACATAAAAAAATAGATTTTTGAATAAATCTAATATTCGCCTAAAACTGTGAATAGTAATTAAAGAAAACAGTTCTTTTTATGTAAAAAAAAAAATTAAATTTGTGAATTTAAATCTTAAAAATTCAAAAAACTATCAAAATAAGTAATGTGGTAAAATTTGTTTTAAGTGTGTGCTTTTCAATAAAAATGCATGGTAGATAATTAACATGAAATGTAGATAAATCGTAATTTAATTAAACTATAAATTCATAAAAGGGCTTAGAATTATGAATTTGTAAGACACACCAGATCACATTCCAAATTTATATATGTTAAATTATGCATTTATATTCTGCACAACATCATCGATGATTAATAGTAATGAAACTAATATGGTCCTTTAACTATATTTTTATATTTTGGTATTTTAATTATTTTTAAAAGTATTGCAACAAATGTACCCATGTTTATAATAAAAAAAATTTATTAGTTTACCTCTTTCAGTTGTTTTGTTTGAATGCAGATACTGTTCATAAATATTTTATTTCTTCAGAATTAAAATTATAACATAATCGAATAATTTTAAGATAGTAAATTATTTGTTGATAAAAAGATTATTTGACCGGTGCGAAGCACGGGAGATAATACTAGTTAAATTATATTTTTGGCGGACTAATCTCTTTCTCGTGTGGTGAGATGTTACGGTTCTACCCTTTGTTAATCAAAATTTTTGTTAAGCTACTACAAATTGCATTTGATGAGGTTTAGTAAGATTAATTAATCAATTGCATATTTTCGAGGTACTAGTTAGTCATATTATTCAGACATTCTTCTTGGAAAGTGTCACAATTTAATGACATATTGGCCGCCGATAAAAAAAAAACTATTTTGGAGTTTGAAAGGTTTCATATTATAGCTGGTTTAATGCATCGTTAATTGTTGTCTAAGGGTAAGTAAGTGGCATTTCCGTTAATATGATGTTTGTAGCTGTGCAATATCGTAATCTGCGTAATTAATTCAAACGCATGGTCCCATCGCTATTCGTTCCGTAGCCGTTTAAAAGGCCTCTCTCAAGTCGGCGTAGCTTAATGACATGTCTACCCAAAATAGTTGAAAAATATGTAATGTATGATTGATTAATAAGTTTAAAACATTACTGTTTGTTTCATAATTTGTTGAAGTCATGTCCATCACATCACATAGAGAAATTCCAAATTTTGAATTTCAAGAGAGTGGTAGTATTCACTGATAATGAATAAAGTGTAAGAAAAGTATGGACTGGCTAAATTCTACTAATACAGAAATTCAAATGACTCGCTTTTGTTAAAGTGAAAATAAAAGCTTTTGACTTTTTGCACACAGCACTCTCATAAACTTTCCTTTTTTTCAAAAATGTTGTATTCTTTATTTTTTCAACCGTATGTCTATATCACAACTTCACAAGTCTATAGTGTCTTCTTTGTCACGTGTTCAACATCCCGCCTTCTATATTCGATATGGGTTTCAATTCAAATCCTTCTTTGTACTATCTTTTTTTTTTACTTTGGTATATAATAATGTCTTCATACTTTACTAGCTGCTGCCCTTTATGATTAAACTTCCCTTTATTTTTTTTTTTGTTCTTTTGTGTAGTTTTTCTTTTTCAAAAATATTAATAGTAATAAGTTTGATTTAAACTTGTCATTTTCGAAAGGGTGGTATATGTATCCAGGTGTCGGAAAAGCAGTAGGATTACATATATCCTTGCCATTTGTTGATACAGAAACCAAAAAAAAAGAGACATTCATCCAAACAAGAATAGTGTATACTCCAGTTCCATTTACTAAACTTGAATATGACACAACAAACTTCCAAATAATTGAAATGAAAAGGTTAGAAGAACATAAAAAAACCATCACATGCATCACAATATTCTTTACTAGTCCATGTACGTTGTCGTTTCGTAATGTTTGTTCTTTTAAAGGGCCAAAGTTATTACCTGTAGTGTAAAGCTATAGAGATGGGTCGGTAATGGGCCGGTTTGGGTAGCCCATCCTCAGAACTGACACAGCAAGATTGTCCAACTTGTTGGGAAATTTAATAACTGCGAAAGAAAAATGGGACTGAAAGATGAACGAGGAGGAATAAAAAGACAAGCAAAAAAGGGGATTTTAATTAGAGCAATCATAGGATTCGTCGCTTTCTCCAGCTTCGTCTCCTTTATCCAAACCGTTTGATTATTATTTTCCAGGCAAAAAAAGTTGGAGAATTATTCAGATAATTATTGCTTCTCCCTAACGCCTAGAAGCGTCTTGCATCCTAAGCAAAGGTGAAAATCTCATTCTCTCATTATAATCCTGATTGAATTTTTGTTCTCGATCGCAGAATCCACGATTTAGATATTAGGTTTGATAACTATTTATAATATTTATGATTCACGATATTTCTGCAGGCTTTTAGCTTTTATCGTGCGAGTTTGTTTAGCCTTTAAAATCGAATTTGATGACTATTCCATTGTGTATATTCAGGAGGTGTATCTTTCACCAAGCAACAAAGATCATTAGATAACGCTGTTACTGCGTCTAGTGTGTTTAAAAGAGCGAGGAAACAGTTGGTTAGTTATTGATGTGGCCTCTTTGTTTTTTGCTGAACAAGATTTTGAAAGTAGAGAGGAATCAGGGGAGATCAGATGATGGAGATTCCACTTCTCCTAAATATTCCCAGTTTGATGATCCCTTTGTTACTACTCATGGAAACCTCAAAGATCCATCCTCCTCCCACTTAGAAGTAATATTTGTCTCTCCATGTTTGGTCTCAATCTAGTGTGAAGTCTGAAACGTATCATCATCCTATTTGTTATTATATTTAGGTCCCTCATGTACATCAGCTAGCTTCATGGGATTGTGGCCTCGCTTGTGTTCTCATGGTTCTCCGAGCAAGTGGTATCACAAACTGCACTATTCAGGATTTGGCTGAGATTTGCTCCACAAATAGGTCTGCTTCTTGAATATGAGAAAAATTTGGCAGAGAATACTTATTTTTAAAAAGGATGTTTCTCATCAATTTTTTTTTTTATTTGACATTTTCTGCAGTATTTGGACTGTTGATCTAGCATATTTACTGCAAAGGTTCTGCGTGGAATTTTCTTATTACACAATAACATTCGGAGCAAATCCAAATTACTCCATTGAGGAATTTTACAAGGTATATTTACCTTATATGCCATAAGAGATAGGACCTCTTAATTCATGTTTGATATTTTCTCATTCTCTATGTCATGCTGTTCATCAAGTATGTCAATGAAATGTTGATTTGTTGCTTTTAATTATGTTCCTTTCCGAAATCATGGTACAGGAGCAGCTCCCTGAAGATCTACTGCGTGTGGATTTGCTCTTCAGAAAAGCACATGAATCTGGCATTACTATACAGGTAAACCCCGTTCAGCCAAATGTTTCTTCTTGCTCCTTTGTTGGGTTTTTTTTAGTGATGCTTATGTGGTGAGTTTTTCTACCCAAAAATGTTATCAAAACTTGATTTGTTTAGGTATAGACACTTTCATTAAATCAATGCATTGTTTTAACATTTTTGGCAGAAAATTATGTGTGATGAACCTTAGCTTGTGTAAATCTGTTTGTTATTTGGAAATCAAATTCAATCAACCTTTTTGTTTTTGCAGTGCAGATCAGTTAGTATCCATGAGCTTTCTTCTTTGTTATTGTCGGGGAACTATATCGCCATTGCATTAGTCGATCAGGACAAGCTAAGGTCGGTTCTCTTTTCTTCTCGTGTATTCCCTCTAGTCTTCCATGTCCTCAAAGCTTGCATATCTTGTGCACTTTCTCTAGACTATCCTTGTTCCTTGACAAAGTTTATTTGTGTATTTCTTCTGATAAAGAAGTTGCATAGTGTTCATGTTAGTTTTTGTTTGCAGCAAGTCTTGGTTGGAGGAAGTGATTGTCGCTGGTCTTCACAACAGCAATTCCAGCTACACTGGTGAGAAGTTCCTCCTGCCTTATACTTTGAGGGCACTGATTGGATTTTCCTATTTTCAAAATTTCTAACATGTGTTTGTTTCCTTCATGTTTTAAATAGGTCACTACATAGTGATATGTGGCTACGATGCTGTTAAGAACGAGTTCGAGATCAGAGATCCCGCTAGTTCCAAGTAATTTCTGATAATCTCTTGCTGCTTTGTTTGTTACAGTTATGTTCTCCTTCGAACTTGTACACTGGGATGTTGCATCTGATGCATCAACCATCGGGGAGCCTGCCATTTACTCATAATAGTAAAGAATTCACAGATAAATATTTTTTGCAGGACGTACGAGAGGATATCGTCAAAATGCCTAGAGAATGCCCGGAAATCGTTTGGTACAGACGAAGATCTTCTCCTGGTAAAATCTAAAAAGCATGAAATTTGTTGAGTTTTGGCTTGTGCAGTTGCCCTGTGTTCATGTATTTGTTTTCGATGGATTTGTGCAGATAAACTTGGAGAACATAAAGAAGCAGAAAGAATAGTTCTCGCTACTCATCATATCATTCTGGATTACAATGAAACCACCCGAGTGTTCTATCCCAGCAGAGCAATACTTCTTTTACATATATACATACACACATATAAAGGATGTTGCCCAACATATTCCTATAGAGGTACATGGATCATTAGTGAATTCAAGAGTATAGGTTTCACATTGATCAGATTCTTCTATTTCTAAGCAGTTATATTTTTTCCTTGTTGTACAAATCGGTTTGTCATGTGAATGCATATAAGATTTGATTGATTCAAGTTTTCGAGTAACAATAAGAGTTAAAAGGTACCCGAAATACCAAAAAAAAATCCGAGAATAATCAGTTCGAACCGAACCGAACCGAACCATACGTTCAATCGCTTTATACCGCTGAACCGGATTCGAATTTTATTCTTAAACCGGAATTAGATTCGGACCGAACACATCATCATAAGATTCGTTTAAACATGGTTGTCTCTCTCCCTGTCTGCTAGCTTTGCTAGAACCCTAGAACTCCCTCCCTAAACCCTCAACACTTGCTCACGGATCTCTTCGCTCTCCGAGAAAGAAGATGGAGGAGGATCGTGTCTTCTCATCTGTTCACTCAACAGTCTTCAAGGAATCAGAATCATTAGAAGGAAAGTGCGAAAAAATCGAAGGATACGATTTCAATCAAGGAGTAAACTACCCTAAACTCCTCAGATCCATGCTCACCACAGGCTTCCAAGCCTCAAATCTCGGCGAAGCTATCGACGTCGTCAATCAAATGGTTCTTTATTCCCTTTAAGATTCTCAAATTAAAAAAAAATTGTTTTTATCTTTAATCATTATTAACATGGAATCTTTGAATTGTAATTGAAAGCTAGAGTGGAGACTCTCTGATGAAACTACAGTACCTGAAGACTGTAACGAAGAGGAGAAGAACCAAACGTATAGAGAGTCTGTCAAGTGTAAAATCTTTCTTGGTTTCACTTCGAATCTTGTTTCGTCTGGTGTTAGAGACACTATTAGATACCTTGTTCAGCATCATATGGTTAGTCTTGTCTTTTACTTGGAAGTTGTTTGATTGGTTAATTGATTTTTAATGTTTTTTTTTTGTTTTTTTTGCAGGTTGATGTTATAGTCACGACAACAGGTGGTGTAGAGGAAGATCTTATTAAGTGTCTTGCACCTACTTTCAAAGGTGACTTCTCTTTACCTGGAGCTTATCTTCGTTCAAAGGGATTGAATAGAATCGGGAACTTGCTTGTTCCGAATGATAATTACTGCAAGTTTGAGGATTGGATTATTCCAATCTTTGATGAGATGTTGAAGGAACAGAAAGAAGAGGTATTATTTATTTGCTGAGTCCTCTCTTTTGCATCATAAAACTTCGTTGATGATATTTTGTTTCTTGTGTTTCATTGTAGAATGTGTTGTGGACACCTTCTAAACTGTTGGCCCGATTGGGAAAAGAAATAAATAATGAGAGTTCATATCTTTATTGGGCATACAAGGTAACATAAAAACACTTACCCTTTTTTTAGTATTTTGGGGCATATGCAAGGTAGGTAACAAGGTTCATGTCTCATGTGGTGTTTTGTAGATGAATATTCCAGTGTTCTGTCCGGGGTTAACAGATGGATCTCTCGGTGATATGCTCTATTTTCACTCCTTTCGTACCTCTGGTCTTGTCATCGATGTAGTTCAAGGTATACCTTCTTCTACTTAATGAGGCAATGGCATGTGCTAAGTCTAGTGCAAGACTATTGTAACTAGTAGTGAATTGTATATGTTTTAATGGGAGATATGAGAATTCTCTTGTTAATCAAACTCTTTGCTATAGTGTAGTGAGTCTTTTGGTGGATATGAATCAATGAGTTTGTTGATTTGAGTCTTTATCTCAGTACTGGACTATAAGAAATGATTAATGCTTGGATGAACAGATATCAGAGCTATGAACGGTGAAGCTGTCCATGCAAATCCAAGAAAGACAGGGATGATAATCCTTGGAGGGGGCTTGCCGAAGCACCACATATGTAATGCCAACATGATGCGTAACGGTGCGGATTACGCTGTATTCATAAACACTGGGCAAGAGTTTGATGGGAGTGACTCAGGTGCACGCCCTGATGAAGCAGTGTCTTGGGGTAAAATAAGAGGATCTGCTAAAACCGTTAAGGTCTGGTTCAAAACCTTCTTTTGAGTTCTTCACATCTCTACTAGTTTTTGAGAATTTGAGTTACATTTTTTGATGATGGATCATTTATTGCAGGTATACTGTGATGCCACCATAGCCTTTCCTTTGTTGGTTGCAGAAACATTTGCCTCCAAGAGAGAACAAAACCGTGAGCACAAGACCTAAGCCCAAGAAAGCTCAGGTCTCATTCTCCTCATTGGTTTGTTCTTCCAACTTGTTGTTGTACTCATTGGTCCTGGATTTACATAACATTCATCTCTAAAACATTTATAATAACTTTTTAATCTTATTCAACATTATTATTTAACAAAAAAAGAAAACTTAAATCTTACACCCATAATTATTTCACATATTAATAACAAAACCATAGTCATTGACAAAAACTACACCCTGCGAACTGGTATAAGCCTGAGAGGAATCTTTCTACTGACAACAAACTGAGATATCTCCTCCATGCTAAGCTCTTCCGGATTAGAACCATCATGCATCTTCCAATCAAACCGGTACAAAAGATTAGCAATAATCTCCTCAAGCAACGCTATACCATAAGCCATACCGGGACAATTCCTACGACCAAACCCAAACGGAACATACCCTTTACTCCCCATGAAGTCAACGTTCTTCTTCAGGAACCTCTCAGGGATAAACTCATCAGGTTTCTCCCAGTCCTTAGGATCACGTTGGACCGCAAAGAGATTCACAAGCACTTTGGTGTTGGGAGGGATGTCGTAGCCACCTACTTTTATCCACTTGGAAGATGTCTGTCTTGGAACTATACCTGGTGGGTGAAGCCTCAACGTCTCCTTAATGATACATCTCAAATAATGCATTTGTTCTATTTCGTTACTGGTTATCTCGGATTTGGTCCCAACTACACGTTGTACTTCTTCTTGTGCTTTCTTTAGAACGTCAGGGTTCTTGATGAGTTCTGAGAATAGCCACTCAAGCTCCAGTGCTACGGATTCTATAGCCGCTACAAATGTTCCCTATAGTGGGACCAAGAACATTTTAATAAGCTGACTTATATATATGCATGAAAGCAATGTTCTAAAATCCTATATATATATATATGTTTATAGAGGATTAGTGGTATAGTAGATTACTTCCCTCTGTTTTTTTGAAATACATTTTACAATTTTTACGCATATTAAAAATATATATAAAGATTTTTGATTACCAATACTTATTTTGTTTGTATTTGTAATTAACTATTCCCTATAGTTTTTAATCAATAGAATTTCAATAAACACTTTAAAATTTACTATTCATCATTACTTGATGCATTGAAAATGTAAAAAAAAAAATTGAAATAATTTTTTTTCTAAAACATGGATCTTTTCGAAATAGATGACTTATTTGGGATCTAAAAGGAACTTAAATGTTGATGAATTATTTACTTATGTATTATATATTATATTTATTTATTTTTGAGATTTAATTATAAAATTATTTTGATAAATTATAAAGTTTAGATATATATAAAATATCAAATTGTCGAATTGCACTAACATTGTTGATAAAGACTTTAAATCAATTTAAACCGATTTAAAATGTTAAATAGATTTAAATCAGATTTTAAGGAAAAATTGTTTTGACTATTGCCTATTTATAGAACATTAAAAGAATGAATCAAGAGATGTTTATGTTACACAAACCTTCATGATAGCTTTGACATCGTAGTCGTGTTTTTCGACGTCTCGTAGACGAACAAGAACGTCCACATAACTCTCCTTCTCTCTTTCATTGATGAGTTTATCCATGATACCGTCCAACTCCGAGTAGATGTTATTTAGAAAAGTTGTAAACCCCGTAAACCTGTCGACCCAAGCGAGGCTCGAGAACATATCAGCAACACAGAAAGCTCCCATGAGCTTCTTGAACTTAACATCCCAATCCAAAAACTTCTTTGTAGTCTTATCTTCCTTTTGGTTACTACCCGTGAACGACCTAAGAAAGATATTACTCACCACGGTGTTGAATATATCCGTTATATCGATGTCTTCACCATTTACGTTATAAACATCAAGGGTCTTCAACATACTTGACATCTCTTCATCTCTCATTGTCTGAAACTTGTTGACAGCGTTTTTGTTCAAGAGGTGGAGAGCTCCTACTTTTCTCAACTGCTTCCAGTGATCTCCATATGGATGATACACCATGTCTTGGCCATTGCCCTTTAGAGGCTGGAGGCTAGCGATGGCTGGTCGGTTTGAGAAATCAATGTCGTGGTTCTTGGAGATCTCTTCGAGAGCAGCAGCGGATGAGACCACTAGGTAACGAGTTGCACCGAAGTTTACGAACATGAATGGTCCATGTTTGAGGGAGAGGTCGTGGAGTGACTTGTGTGGTAAGTTACCGATTTGGTGGAGGTTTCCAATGAAGGGAAGCTTTGGTGGGGATGGAGGAAGGTTTAGCTTTCTTGATTTGATGTTTTTCTTGATAAGTGTGAAGATGATGAGTGGGAACAAGGCTAAAAGAGTTAGAAGGAAAGGGTTTGAGTTAGAGATGATCAGCTCCATGATTACTCTTTTGTTTTTGTAAGTTTAATTTGGTGATTACTTGCTTTGATCCAAGCTTTCTATTTATAGCAGTGTTGAGGGTTATAATTGTTTTGTGTAGAGAGTTTCCAGTCAAAATGAGTAGGCTCCGTAATAAATATCTTATCAATAATTCAATATACAAAACAAAAACCTGACCAAGAACATTGTTGTAGAGCGCAGGGTAAGGAAATTTTGTTTGTTGTAAACGTTCAAACTTTCGGACACTGTCAGAGTTTTTTGTCTTAGCATATTATATTTGGTTTTTTGGGTCAAACTATATTATATTTGTTTAAGAGGGAGTAATTTCGTTTATTTGAAACGACTATCTTCCAAATTGAAGAAACAATTTATTTTATCTTAATTACTTAGGATAATCTAATAATTATAGTTTTATATATTTTGTGACACTAAACTTTCTTACATAGTAAACCCTTGCCCTAATCTCATCTCCTAAATACTAAAGTCTAAACTATAGTCATTAAACCTAAACAAAAGTTTATAATTTTTAAATGTTTAACCAATGCTATTTTGATGATTTTCTTTCTTTTGTGATTCTTTGAACAAAAAAATGATTTATTGTTATGTAAAGTTATTTCTCTATATAATTTTGCTCTATTTCTGGATTTAAAAGTTGGTTTTTGAACTGAAAAGTATAGAAACAGTTGTGTTAAAGTATGCTAAAAGCAAACAACCACTCCATTTCTCAACTTCGAAAAATCGATTGTGTTAATTTGTTAATGGATAGTTGATGGAGAATAATAGGGCTGGGCATTTTATCCGGTATATTTGATTCGATTCGTTATTCGTTTCGATTCGATCCGAAAATTCTGGATATCCGTAAACTTTCGAATCAAAGCAAATACTAAAATTCAATATCCGTTAAAATCGAAGCAAATCACAAATATTAAAATTTTGGGAAGCGGATATCCGATCCGATCCGTAAATATATAAATATATGTATATCTTGATTATATTTAAAATTTTAAATGTAAAATTATATAATTATTATTCTAGCATAAGAATTTGAACAATTCTATTCAAATTATTACTTATATAAAAGTATTACATAAAAAGAAAGAAAGAAAATTATCACAATTATATTTTTTTCTTAAATTTTCTTTTATTATAATTGTAACTTAAACTTAAAAAAATTACAAAATATATAAATTCACTAGTTCTTTTAAGTTTTATTTTATATATCATGCAAAAAAACATTTTTGCAAAGCAAATTTGTATCAAAATCTTAAGATTATTTGTATTAATCAAAATAGATGAGATATCCGTAAGTATTCGTAAATATCCGCAAATACCTATTTATTTTCCGGATATCCGTTTTTTCGGATATCCGTATTTTTTCGAAGCAAAGCAAATACCAAAATTAGATATCCGTAACATTCGAAGCAAATCACAAATACCTTAAAAAACCCGGATATCCGATCCGTGCCCACCCCTAGAGAATAACATGATATAAAGTAAAAATTTGGTCAAAGTCAATTGGAAGTCCAAGATTTGCGTTCATACAGTTCCCGGTTGTGGAAAAGTTGAGGCTTTCATCAAATGACTTTTCTTCCGAAGATAAAACCACTTGCGTGTTTCCTTTAAGATCTAAACTACGGTCAAGTCCTACACTCCTACTTACCAAGGGAGATAACGATAGGTCGATAGTTGATGTATATTTATTAGATAAAACGACATTGACTAGCTATAAGAACCCCGCACCACACCAATACTACCACTACCGAAGTTGGTAGAAGACAACAAAACGTGGTTGTAAATGGTAGTTACGCTATTTGAAAAACCATTGATAAAATGGTGAATTTTGTTGTATCATATCAGAGGGAAAATGAAAATTTCATTTGAGCTAAAAAAACAAATGGGTTGTGAAGAAAAGAGCTAATAATAATACGAGACACTGACAATACACGAGCAAGTGTTAAAGTCTTTGTCAATGGGGGTTAGGTCATACACAGTGGCTTGCCAAAGATTTCTACAGCGTGTTCAGGACATGATTTCAATCCTTATGTTTTTTTTTTTCTGATCAAACAATCCTTATGTTTTTTTGATCAATTATTCTTTCTTTACTTAAATTTTAAAACTTACAAAGTAGAGAATTTTTATTTTAGGATAATCACCAATTAAATTATAATTTATTTACTGATGAAGTACTATTTTTTATTATTTTTTCCAAAAGTTTCTTGTCAAATTTTAATTGTAAAAGCTTTTTTTTTTTAATAAAAAGAGGAATTAAAATTTTATTTTATTTTTATACTCTTTCCAATTATTCATTTGTTTAATTGTATAAATGCTGCTTGGAATCAGGTCAAACTCGACCCACTTGAATCAGTGATCCACCACTTTTCCATGTTCTTGGTCATCAAAAGAGTTCGACCCCCCATCTTCCTAAAAGAGGTAACAGATACTAAGGAGAAGTCGAATCTTTCTTATTGATTTCGCTTAATGTTAAGGGTTACATTGTGACTTTACTTATAGGAGATTACAATGTGGAAAACCCTAAGACACGTGTGACCATCTGACGCCTACTCTGACAGCTGCAGAGAGCTGTATCTGTTATGGATAGGAACGGAGCTGCTTTTACTTTTNTATAGGAGATTACAATGTGGAAAACCCTAAGACACGTGTGACCATCTGACGCCTACTCTGACAGCTGCAGAGAGCTGTATCTGTTATGGATAGGAACGGAGCTGCTTTTACTTTTCGTACAAGTCGCGTTCCCAACAGCTGCGGTTCTGCTTTTGTCTTGTTGCAGAGGTGACCGTTGAGGAATGATGTTGGGCTTCGTTTTGCTCAGGCCCGTATCCTTTGAACTGAAGCCCACATCATTGGGTTTGTTGTGTGGAGCGGCGTCGTTTAGATGAGTTGGTTTGACAGTCCCCCTCAAACTTGGAGTGGGTGGAACATCAACGCCAAGTTTGCGTCTCAACACTGTAAACGGAGCAACGGGTAATGATTTGGTGAAAATGTCGGCAAGCTGAAGATGTCCAGGTATATGCTTGACGACAAGAGCACCAATAGCCACACGTTCTCTCACATAATGATGATCCAACTCAAAGTGCTTTGTCTTGGAGTGAAATGCAGGATTTGCAGTGAGCATCACGGCACTTAGATTGTCACAGAACAATTGCGGTGTCAGAGGAAGAGGAACACCAAGTTCACGTAGAATCTGACACATCCAAGCCATTTCAGAAGCTGTCTCAGACAATGACCGATACTCGGCTTCAGTTGAACTCTTGGACACTGTAGGTTGCTTTTTAGAGCTCCAAGAGATCAAGTTCTGGCCTAGAAAGGTGCAGAGACCACCAGTTGATCGCCTAGTTTCCTGACATCCAGCCCAGTCACTGTCACTATAAGCACGTAATGTACAATCTGATACTCTTGAGAAGGTAACTCCCATTGTCAAAGTGCCTTTGATATAGCGTAGAATTCTCTTGAGCAAGGTGAAGTCTGAGACGGTTGGCATATGCATCTTTTGACAGACGAAGTTAACAGAAAACTGAAGATCAGGCCTTGTCAATGTTAAGTATTGAAGTTTGCCAGCAAGCTTTCTGAAGTAGGTGGGATTTGAGAACAGAGCATCTTGACCCTGAAGTTTGTTAAGCTGTAAGGGAAGTGGTGTAGGCATTGGTGCGCAATCACACATTCCTGCAACAGCCAAAAGGTCTTCAGCATACTTCTGTTGTGACAGAAACAGCCCATCTTCAAATTGCTGAGCCTGAATTCCAAGAAAATAATGTAGAGGACCCATATCCTTCATGCGGAACTGCTTACTCATGTCATCGATCAGTTGATTGAGAAGGTCAGAAGAGTTACCAGTGATAGCCATATCATCTACATAGAGTAGTAACATGATAACATTCCTATTCTTTCTGTAGATGAACAGAGAAGGGTCCTTCTTACTGCAGACAAAGCCAAACTCCAAAAGAAAAGTGCTAAACTTATCAAACCAAGCACGTGGAGACTGCTTAAGTCCGTAGAGAGCCTTGTGGAGTTTCCAGACATGGTTGGGCTTTTCTTTATCTACAAATCCTGCTGGCTGAGCCATATGGACAGTTTCTGCAAGATCTCCGTGTAGAAAAGCGTTCTTCACGTCCAGTTGTCTTATGTCCCACTTCATAATAGTAGCAAGATGAAGAACAAGTCTTACAGTAGCAGTTCTGACTACAGGACTATATGTCTCAAGGTAATCAATTCCTTCTTCCTGCTTGTATCCCTTGGCTACAATACGGGAGCGCAAACAGTTTACTGAGCCATCAGCATTAAGCTTAACTCTGTGTACCCATCTATTACCAATCAGATTCATGTCTGAGGTTCGTGGGACCAGAGAAAAAGTGTTGGTTTCCTTGCAATTGTTGATCTCTTCAGTCATGGCAGCTTTCCATCCTGGATGTTTCAGTGCTTCAGAAACTGTTGCAGGTTCTGGATGAGCTACCTTTTGAGTAAGGAGAACATAACGAGGATTTGGCTTCCTGATTCCTGCTTTTGATCTAGTGACCATTGAGTGTTGTGTGGTGCTGTCTGTCTGAGTAGCAACGGCAGTGTCTGTCCTGGTTTGAGCATGAGCGTTGTCGCCAATAGCATCTGGATAACCAGCCGTACGCTCAGTACACTCATGACCCGAAACAGTAGACACACGAGTTGGTTCAGATTGTTGTTGAGAAGATCGAAGAGGAGGAAAATCAGCAGCAGTGAACATGGGAACAGGAACAACAGTATGTTGAAATATAGGAGTTTCAGGTGCTGAACTCGGAGTATCACATTGCAGAGATGATGATGTGAAGCTTTTCTTCCAAGCTTGATGAAGAGGTGAACCTTTAGGTTGTTGCAGATGAGAGTATTGCTCTGCAAAGGGGAACAATGACTCATCAAAGATTACATGACGCGAGATGTAGACTCGACCAGTTGGAGGATAATAGCATCTGTACCCTTTGTAGTTATCCATATACCCAAGAAAGACACATTTTAAAGACTTAGGATCAAATTTTGAGGCAGAGTAATCTCTCAAGGTTGGATAACAAGCGCAGCCAAAGGTTCTGAGGGAAGAATACTCAGGTCTTTTCTTGTGCAGCAGCTCAAAAGGACTTTTACCAGAAGATTCAGTAGCAGAGGGAAGAAGGTTTATCAAGAAGTTGGAGGTGACAAAGGCTTCTACCCAATGCTTTTGAGGTATAAAACTCTGAAACATCATTGATAAGCCAAGTTCTGTAACGTGACGGTGCTTTCTCTCAGCAAGACCGTTTTGCTGTGGCGTATGAGGGCAAGAGACAAGTTGTTGAATACCACTGGCAGCTAGGAGTGACTTGAAGTTATTGCTCATAAATTCCCCACCACCGTCACATTGAAAACTCTGAATGGTTGTGTTCAGCATATTTTCAGCCATAGATTTAAACTTGACAAAGATGCTAAGAAAATCTGATTTATTCTTCAAGGGGTACAACCAGGTAAACCGGGAGAAGTTATCAATGAGTATTACATAGTAAAGAAAGCCTTGAACAGAGGCGACTGGAGCAGGGCCCCAAAGGTCACAGTGAACTCTCTCAAGGGGTTTTGATGCTCTAAAACTAGAAGAAACAAATGGCAGTCGTGAGCTTTTCCCAAGATGACAGGACGTGCACATCTTGTTGAGCCTTTTATTGACGACAATTGCCTTATTGCGTTCAAGAAGATGTAGAACTTCAGGATTCGGATGTCCTAGTCTTCTATGCCACACTTCATCAGATGTGGAGTGTTGTCTAGTTGAGTAGAACGTCTGAAGCCGTGGTTCTGCTAACTTGTAGAGACCTTTAGTGTTTCCCCCCACCATCAGCAACCGCTTTGTTACTTTGTCCTTTATTCGCACACCATCACAGTCAAATTCAAAGGAGCAAGGATAGTCGGAAGTAAGCTTTGAAACAGACAAAAGAGACTTTGCAATATCAGGACAAACTAGTACATCACGGAGAGGAAGCTTACCTGAAGTGGAGGCAAGTTCAGCAAAGCCAACGTGTGAGATAGGTAAGTAGTTTCCATCACCAACCATTACACTCTCTGAGCCAAAATATGGTTGTGACTGGTTCAAGCGTTGAGTGGAGTTGGTGATGTGAGCAGTAGCACCACTATCAGGATACCAATCACTTCCATCTGTGACCTCGGTGATACGCATAGCAGCAAGAGCACGAGGGACTTCATCATCCTGATAGCTGTTGTCAAAGCGGTGCCAGCAACGAATGGCAAGGTGACCTGACTTACCACAGATTTGACACACCATCTTCTGATCAGTCTCATTTCGAGGTGCAGAAAACTGTTGTGGGAATCCACGACCTCTTGTGGAGAAAGATCCTCGACCTCTGCCTCTGTTGCCACGGCCTCTCCCACCGCGTCCTCGTGTAGTAAATAACGCAGCAAGTTGAGCTTCTTGCGTGGCAGTGAAGGCAAGATGAGGTGAGGCATCACCACCAGTGCTGTAGCTTTGGAGACGATCATCAAAACTTGTGAGTTTAGGGACAATATCTTCAAAGTTTGGACAGACGGTAGAGTCAACAGCATTCTCGATGGTAGTCTTGATTGGCTCATACTCTCTGCCAAGACCGCGAAGAGCAGAAAAGATCTTCATTGTTTCACTCATCGGACTTCCAATGGACCTGAGTTGCTCACTCAAGTCCTTTATCTCCAGAAGATATGCCTTCATTGTCTTTCCAGTTTTGGAGACAGTCTGAATCTTGTGTTGGAGTTCAAAGAGACGTGAGTTGGAGGGTCTATTGAAATGACGTTCAAGAGTGGTCCAGATCTGATGAGCAGTAGTGCAGTGGATGATGACGGTTTGGACAGCTTCAGAAACAGATCCTAGGAGCCAGGACTGAACGACTTGATCGGTTTGAAACCAGAGTTGGTAGTCAGGATTTGGAGCAACAGCATCGACACCATTGATACCAGGGACCGGAAGGGTAGCAGCAGGCTGAGCTTGAGTACCAGTAACGAATCCAAGCAGCTGCTGACCATTGAGAAAGGATTCAAACTGACGTTTCCAGAAGTGATAGTTATTATCTGTGAGCTTTACGGTAATAGAGTGAACAAAACGTAAAGCAGGTGGTTGATACAAAGCAACGGCGTCGGCCATAGCTCTGATACCATAAAAGAGGTAACAGATACTAAGGAGAAGTCGAATCTTTCTTATTGATTTCGCTTAATGTTAAGGGTTACATTGTGACTTTACTTATAGGAGATTACAATGTGGAAAACCCTAAGACACGTGTGACCATCTGACGCCTACTCTGACAGCTGCAGAGAGCTGTATCTGTTATGGATAGGAACGGAGCTGCTTTTACTTTTNTATAGGAGATTACAATGTGGAAAACCCTAAGACACGTGTGACCATCTGACGCCTACTCTGACAGCTGCAGAGAGCTGTATCTGTTATGGATAGGAACGGAGCTGCTTTTACTTTTCGTACAAGTCGCGTTCCCAACAGCTGCGGTTCTGCTTTTGTCTTGTTGCAGAGGTGACCGTTGAGGAATGATGTTGGGCTTCGTCTTGCTCAGGCCCGTATCCTTTGAACTGAAGCCCACATCATTGGGTTTGTTGTGTGGAGCGGCGTCGTTTAGATGAGTTGGTTTGACACTTCCTCGTGGCACGATTGAATTCAACGACGCACATCAATGAAATTGGGTTTTACAGTGGGCCAGTCACAGAAACACAAATTGTTAGTCAGATTCCAGAGTTGTATGTCTTAAATTTCTAACTCACAGTCACGTTGAGCCGTACTTTTTAAAAAAGTAGGATTTATACTTTATATCAACGTGTTAGCCAAAGTGGAATTCATATATTACATCTATTCGACGATACGAATCCGAAAATACTACTAGCAAAACATTTAAATAATCCTACTTTTATGTGACCAGATGATTCTACAATTTTTAACCATAATTATGAAGGTGAAAAAACAATTCAAATATATTGTTTTTAAACCGATTTTTTAAAGTTTTTCTCTCGGTGGGAAACTTCATCGAGATTTCCATCATGCATGCTCTTTTTCCTCAAATTAATAGCGTGAATTTACATTTGTCCCAAAAAAAAAATACATTTGTTTGTGGTTGATTTTTCCTCTTCTCCTTAAGTCGTTGATTCCAAAAATAGTTGTCAACTCAGACCTAATCGGCCAAGCATGTTTTTACGTAATTGATGAAATACGTTTCTTAGAAAACAATCGCCGTTAGTCATGCATATATTTAAAAAAGTTTGATCCCAAAATGTGTTATATAAATTTTTAATCTCTCTAATTTTATCAGCATTGATTTCCAACTTCTTGTCTATAATCTTCTCTTTGGGGCAACTTATTGGCTATAATCTATCTTTATAAATCTAAATCTAAAACAGTATTAAGTTTTGTTTCTATTCTTTAGCCAAGAGATCCAACTGAATTTGTTCAGATCTAATGTTGATCAATCTAACTCACTCCAAGTTATTAATTTGTTAGAAAAATTATAAGATTTAGCATTTTACAAAAAATGAAAATGTGTTTTCTGTTGTTCATATCTCCAAATTTACATATACATAACTCGCCAAAAATAGATATTATGTATTTTTGCCAACTCCTTGTAGATTTGCAGCCACATGAAGAAGAAAAAATAAAGGAAAATAAAGGTGTGAATTTTGACCCCCAAAAGGGTGTGAATCTCTCTCCATCTTAGTGGAACCACAATACAAATATTCCACATGATTAACCATAAAATTCCATTCTGCGATTTTTTTCTCCGGTCGTGAGCCGTGAGGCGACTTTGAACACGATCGAGTTATTAAAATACATTAAGTAATGCTTTGGAGTACTAAAGTTGAATAGGTTAAATAGAACGTGTCAAAAAAAAAAATTTGTAGGGCGTCTGGTCACAGTTGATCCTTAATTAATTAGAGGTCGTTAATCGTTTTTTTTAACTTCATATTTTTTTTTTTTTTTAACTGGCTTTCATATTTAAAAACACAGGAACCAGAAGATTTACAGAGATAAACACAAGAGATAAACAGAAAAAAAGAGGAACAACTTGGAAATAAAGGAAAAAGGGACACAATAACCGAATTGAATCAACCGCAAACGGGAATAAACAGAGTGTACAAGAGGGATTCAAGTAAAATTGGTACGACAACACCTATTCAGCTAGAGAATGGTCAGACAACACAGACAAGTCGCGATAGCAACTCCGGGCCTTACATTCTGTTCACCTTTCAGATTGTTGTTAATCCAGCGAGGAGCCAAAGCTACCTCACTCTCACCCGCACTTATACAACTACTGACCACTAAGCACATAAAACCGGGCTGCAAAGGAAGCAGTCTTGACAAAGGTGGAAGGGAACAAGTACTGAGTACTGAAAAGAAAAGGAGACCTCCTGACAGAGCAATCCAACTGACCGCCATGCCACTGGGATGGAGGAACGCCTAAGTACGCCATCTCTGTGAAACTAGGGAGCACCGAAGACCTGCGAAGCTAACCAAGATCCACACGAACTCCAAACTCTAAGAACTAGAGCAGGTTCTTTTCTTTACCTGAGCGAGGACTGCCGGAGATAGACGAAGACCACGCGCCAAAGAAGAACATGATAACTTGAAACCGCCCACCAGGAAAGCGCAAAACTGGAGACGGAGTTCACCACCAGCAAAACCGAAGGGAGAGGAAGACAAAGGACGAAGAGGAGGTCGGAAAACCACCGCCTGAGAACCATTCTCCGAACGTCAGAAAGAACCAGACCCACCTCACGCGCCGCCGGGAATCAACAAATGACACCGCCAAAAGAGAGAACACCAACGTGCTCATCAGAAACGAAGACCAATGTCCGTCCTTGAGGGCTGAAGAGGGCCACTCCTTTACCGAGACGCCAAGGCAAAGAAAAGAAAGCCTACGACCGCCACTCCTCACCAAAGCAAGACCAAGAGAGGTCTGAGTCAGGAGAGTCGACACCACACCCCACGCGCTTCCAAAGCCGGACAACACCGCACGGATAAAGAGATCTACCACCGATTTAGCGAAGCCCACCCTAAGAACCGACTCCTACCTCTTCCCCGTCTCCCAACACCTCGTCGAAACACCGGAGCAACACGACGTCAAAGGAACCAAAACTCCGGGGCCCCAGATCTGGAGATCCAAAATCAATCGGACGCTCTAGGATTTCAAACATCTCGGAGAGGGATAGAAGGAAAAAGAAGAAGCAAAGAGAAAAAACAGAGAAGGAGAGAGGGAGCCGCCGACGGCGTCACGAGGACAACCGCCGGAGGAAACGGCGTTTCAAGGATTAGTAGGTCAGAGAGATCTGAGAGAGAGAGAGGAAAGAGGATTTTTTGGTATTGTATTAAAAAATTCTAATCCTTGAAACGCCGGAGGAAACGGCGTTTAGAGAATTAGTAGGTCAGAGAGATCTGAGAGAGAGAGAGGAAAGAGGATTTTTTAACTTCATATTGTAAAGATATATCATTTGATGATATAATCACTTAAAACAACTGGTCAAATCATTCACCGTTTTTTACTTACTTCCTGATTCTGCTCACGGCTGAAAATCAGTGCATTTATTTAATATGATATATACAAAATTATTACACTAAATTTCAAAATATTGATAAAATAACGAAAAACGATCTTGCCAATTAGAAAAGTACACATTGTGAAGCGTATATTATGTATCTAATTAGACGTGAAGCTTAAGCCGAATAATTAAAGATATGCTATAGCAGATAAATAATATTATTTGGCATGGGTCTCTCAACCTTTTAAATGTCAACAAAAATGAATGTAAGTTCCAACAATGCCAAACACAAAGGAGGAGTTTCCTGAATACGCAAACAACTTACTATTAAGACATAACTGAAAACACAAAGACACAACAAACAAATAGCTACAATGATAATATATGATCAATCAAACTATCTAAAGATCGATATGCCGAACCCTTTTCTTCGCAATGGGGGTTCACAAAGTACGGTTCATGGACTGTAGCATGGACCCCACGACACGTGGTGGTCCGCCATTGATCCAATTAATAATTTTTTTGGCATTTTTTTTTGGGCTTAAGTAAGAAAGACTCTAACTGATATAAAGCAAATGTTTTATGGATTTTTGTTTTGATTAATACTAAGAGTATGATTAACCTGGGTTTTTAGGATGTAGTTTTTAGCCGAAGTTAAGAAACTAGTTTCTTAAATTCTGTTAAGAACCCACCCTAAAAATTTCGGGTTAATCATGATCTGAAAAGTGTTAAAAAAAGACTAGAAACTGAGAAATGCAAATAAAATTTATAAACCTAATTGTAATAAGAAAAAAAAAAAAGAGATCTAAATTAAAGTTTCCGACATTAGAGAAGCAAGAACTGTATGTTTACCTAAGAAATGTCTAATGGGTCAATTCAATTCCCGTTGAAAAGATTTGCTTTCCAAACAAGTTATTTTTTTTTTTGCTGTCAGCTCCAAATAAGTTAATTTGAAATGGTTTAGATCTAGATTTTTTTAAGAAAATGTATGGATTTTCCAACACTGAATTTTTTTGTTATTCTATAAAATATCTACGAATTTCAGTTTTAATTAGAAAGTAAGAAATGCAAATCAAATTTTGAAAAACAAAATTACATGCATATTAGACGTATTAGTCTTGTTTTATTTCAACAATGCCAACCACAGTGGAGGACTTAACAATTTATTAGATAAAACAAAAAAAAAGGAGCAAAGAAATCAAAACACACATAAAAATCTAGAAAGATGATATATAATCAACCAAATCTTGCAAAGATCGATTAGCCGAACCATTTTCTTTAACCGATCTTCCTACTTTCTCCTTAAGAAGTTTCATCCTCTCTCTGATCACTTCACCTTCAGGTTCCAACAACAATCTCCTCACCACTCTCTCTATCTCATCTCTCTCAATCCTACCCTCTAGATGAAGCCCCACCATCCACACATCACTAACAAATCTTGCATTAAGCAACTGATCCCATACAGAAGGCACACAAATCATAGGTACACCTTCACAAACACTCTCCACCGTTGAGTTCCAACCATTATGTGTCAAGAATCCACCAGTGGCTCGATGCTTTAGAACTTCTTGTTGCGGTGCCCATTTCACTATCTTCCCCTTCTCCTCAAGCCTCTCCATCAGCTCTTCAGGTATAGCCTCGACTCCTTTCGTGCCATTGACCATACCAACACGTACCACCCACAAGAAAGGCTGCTCGCTGTTTCTTAGGCCCCACGCAACCTCTAGTAACTCTGATTCAGTGATGTTCACGACGCTTCCGAAACTCACGTAAATCACTGAGTTGTCTTCTTGTTTGTCTAACCACTGAATACAAGTCTGGTCCGGTGTGAACAAGCTACTAGAAGAGCCCGGGAAGTAGCTATGAGAAGGTCCAATAGCAAAGATGGGGAGTTGAAAGTCTTTACGTGCTTGGCTGAGTGAGTCTTGATCCAATTCTTCACATGATGACACGAAAATAAGACCTGAAGATGCCTTTGTCGTTTGCAAGATCATATCCGAGTACGAGTCTAGAACTTCTGTTTCTCCCTCGAGGATTTGTAAGAGATCTTTCTTTCTAAGCGGTGGAAACTCCTCTGCTGGTTCATCTTGTTCTGAACCTAGAATATTTTTGATGTTAATTCACATCATCACATTTGAATAAATGTTATTTTTGATAGATAATGATTTTATATAACTAATAAAAGTGTAACCTCTAGTTGTTTTATACTTCTTCCATTTCATATTAAGTGTCACAATAGATAATTTTTTCCGTTACAAAATAAGTGTCAATTTCGGTTTTCAATACAAAATTTATTAATTTTTTTATGTAATTTATTTTTCTATTGGTTGATATATGGTTAGATGTATAGGTAATTGTGTGTTTTATATAGAAAATATGCAAAATCAATTGTTTCCTTAATCCGTCTACAGAAAATATTGGACCGGAAAATATTAGTACTCATATAAAACTGTTTTAGGTTAAAGAAGAAGTAAACAGTACCTTGCTGTAAAAGATATCTGTCACGGCGGAGCGGGGGAAGAACAAAATGACCTACAAAGAAGGAGACTTTATAGGTATTAGTAACCAATCTCGGGAGATTCAGACTCTGAGCAACAGGTTGTGTGAAGATCCATCCAGCATCATCGATCAAACAGCTAATCCTCTGTTTCTCTTGCAACAATTTAGTCAAACATTCACGAAACGGAGCCTCACAGCTTCGGTTAAGAAGCGTCAGGAGAAGTGTGACATCGTGAGTGCTTTTATCTTTTTCAGACAAGCCGTCTGGGATCTCTAAGAAGGTGAAGAGAGAGTGGTTTGAAGTTTTTGGAGCGTTGAAGCGCGTGTGGATCACAGTGATGGAGAAACCTCTTGAGTGGAGGATCTTTGCGAGCTGAAACATAGGGTTAACGCAGCCTTGTATAGGAAGTGGGAACATAATCACTCGTAGGCCATTACTCTTCTCCATTGAAGTTTTCTTTTTTTGTTTGTGTTTCAAACCAGATGCAAAGTTCCTGATTATATAAGTCAATGCCACATTTGAGATAACATGTCTATTTGAAATTTTTTAAAATTTATATTTCTATAACGTGGAGACATTAACTCTCCTCTTCTCGATGTCCTAATAAAGAAAGACCAGATCTCTTTTAAGTTTATCTGGTTTTGTATAGTCTACTCAAGTTGCACCTAGTAGAAACAGAGAAAAGAGGGTTAACCTAATGTTATGGTGTTTGCAATGCAAACAAACAAGTTTATTGAGAATTTTCGATTATACATCACTTTTATTACATTTTAAATATAATGTTTTAAACATAAATAGATTATTCCACAATCAGGAAAATACTGAGAATTATTTTCATTGGGTAATATATACTCAATGTCACAGTGATCGTATATGATTCATTAGGGTTTCTATGGATCTCAAAGACGAGCCACCATCTTTAACAGATCTCCCAACCTCATCTTTCAAAACATTCATCCTCTCACGAATCCTTTTTCCTTCACTTTCAACCATTAACATCCTCACAGCTTTCTCGATCTCTTTCCTCTCGATCTTACCCTCCAAGTGAATCCCAACCCTCCAAACATCGCTCACAAATCTTGCATTCACCATTTGATCGCCTCCTCCAGGTAAACAGATCATCGGAACCCCTTCGCATATACTCTCTAACGTCGAGTTCCAACCATTATGTGTCACAAACCCTCCAACAGCTCTATGCGCAAGCACCTCTTGTTGTGGAGACCATTTCACTATCTTCCCCTTCTCTTCAAGGCTTCTCAAGAGCCCTTCGGAGAACAGTTCATTCCACTCTGAGCCTAAGACCGAGCCAGGTCGTACCACCCACAAGAAACGCTGTTTGCTGTTGCTTAAATCCCACGCAATCTCTAAAAACTCTGTTTTCGTTATGTTCACAACGCTTCCTAGACTCACGTAGAGAACTGATTTATCTTCTTGATTATCTAACCAATGGAGACAAGTCTCGTCTTGTTTGTAAAGGCTACTAGACGAAGAAGCAGGGAAGTAGCTGTGAAACGGACCAATCGCAAAGACTGGAACATTGAAGATATCTTTGGAAAGAGTCAAGGAATCTTTCTCCACTTCTTCGCAGGAAATGAATATTAAACCTGAAGACCTCATCGTCATCTCGACAGCAATATCAAATAAGGGATCGAATTTCTCTCCGTCTTCCCTGAAAAGCCATGAGATATCTCTCTTTAGAAGCGGAGGGAACTCATGAACAGAGTCCTCTGCTTCCGAATCTAAGACACAAAAGGTTAAAAAAAAACATATTAAAGGTACCACAAAAGACGACCACGGCCTCTTTCACAAACATCCTCAACGCTCAAGATGCTTGCTGCTCAAGTCACAATCTTCCACATTTGGAAACAGAGGAACAACTGTCTCCACAACGGCACAACAATCCCACCATCTACCATTGTCAAGCTCATTGACCGTGAGGTTCGAAACGTCATCACAGCAAGAAGGAGGAAGAAAGCGATTTGTGGGCTTAATGCTTCAATGGCTCTCTTCATTATTTCTTACTTTTGAAATGTCACAAAAATCTTGTACCTTGTTTTTATCTTTTTTGCCAAGGTCACAGCCTTCCAGATCGCTTGTATGTCTGAACTTTCTCATATTTATATGATATTTACCTTCTTAGCAAAAAAAAAAAAAAACAAAAGACCTAAAAAGATGGGAGAATAATTTTTTTTTTGGCTTCTAAGAACAGAAGGGTCTTTTGAGCAGATTACTGTAACCAAACCTTCAAGATTCCTATGAATAATATTTACAATTTAACAAAAAAATAAATAAAAAGAAGATTACCTGAAAGTGAAAAATAGCCTTTTGTTCGAATACGCGGGAAAATAGGATAAGCATTCAAGAAAGTGGCTTTGAAAGTAGAGAGAACAAGCCTTGGAAGATTTAGACTCTCTGCAACAGATTGCGTGAATAACCAATCACAATGATCGATCAAACAACTAACTCTCTCTGATTCTTGAAGCATCAGCTTTTGCAAGCAGTCACGAAACGGAGACTCAGCGTTGATGTTGATTTGCGCCACGAAAGACATAACATCAGAAGTAGGGTCATCGTTGATCTGAGTTTCAGACAAGCCATCTGGAATCTGTACGAACGTGAAGAGAGGATGAGCAGAAGCTTTTGGAGCGTTGAAACGCATGTGGATGACAGTGATTGAGAAGCCTCTTGAGTGGAGGATGTTGGCGAGCTGAAGCATAGGGTTTATGCAGCCTTGTAAGGGCGTAGGGAAGAGAATCACTCGCTCACCATTACTCTTCTCCATTGAGATTGAAGAAGCTCTTCTTTGTTTCTTTGTTCTTATGGGGTTTATGAAAAGACTTAACCTCTCTCTATATATATATAGTTAGTAGTGTAGAATCTTTAAAGGAGACAAAACCTTCATAGTTTATCTGTGTGTTTGGTTTAGACCCTCCCATTCAACTTGCCGACAATTTTCTTGACTTTTTGGATTTAAAAATTTATATATACTCCTATCAGAGATTGTAGGAGATGGGTTATACCCCTCCACAAGGCCCATCAAATGAGGAAAACTTAGCCCAGTCTGACAATACACTCGGCCCACCGGGTGACACCAAAACGACTCGGTATGAGACGTGTTTAGTAGCGCGACTAAATGTGTTCTAGAAGAGTCGGCGGAAGAACGATTTACCCGAACTACTAAACGGGCCTAGCGGTAATAAGGCCCAACAAGGCTAGGGCAAGTTAGGGCGAACACGAAGATTGGATCTATAAAAGGAGAGAGGCAGCAAAGGGAAAGGGGAATCCGGAATTGGACATACTCACTTGGCGGCTAGATCTAGGGTTACTTAGCGATTAGGTGGTTAGATCTAGGGTTTACCCACCCTCCTGTTTAGTCACCATCTCGTTTAGTCACCCTCCTGTTTAGTCACCTTCCCGTTTACTCACCATCTTGTATTTCCGGCCAATCCGCCTCTTTACTCTTCTCTTTGTAACTCCTTGTTCAGATCTAATAAAACGTCTTTGTTCGCCCTCAACTCTCTTTATATTGTTCAAACCATTTTCACCTCAAACAATTTGGCGCCCACCGTGGGGCCCTGAACAAAGCAACGTTATCAGATCTAGACATGCCTGACGACGGAACCGTCTCCGGAACCGCCGGCGAGGAGCCGACTCAGACTCCCGTGCCCGAAACACCTCTTCCTCCCGACTTCATGAGCTCCGTCATGGCGCGTTTCGCCAGACAAGACGAAATACAAAAGGAGACTCAAGCTCAACTCGCCGCACTCGTAGCAG